ATTTGCCGCAGCTAAAGTTTTGGGTTTAAATATAGTGTTCTTATTATGGTTGTATTTTGTTTCTATGTGATATTTTTTCCTTAATTTATAGCTCGATTACAGTGTTCCTTGAAGATTGTGGTATGTGTGTGGTGCAATACATCACTCAAATCGAAGTACGGTCATGTTATATGCGTTGTAAATGGAAGAAAAGGCGGCTTCCGCACTTTTCTAGTCGGGAAAGAATCGAAATTATTAGTAATGGAAACTTGTCCACGTACCTCGCAGTAACTGCTATAACAAAATGTACCGTTTGATGGTGCTCGGTCTTCTGGCGCTTTTTTTTTTTTTTTTCCCCCTCAGGAGTGAGAGGTGTCTACTGTGTACTGTACTGTGAAAGACTTTAGTAACAAGGGGCATTTATCTAATAAGCTGTCACCAATAGCCTAGTGATTAATACAACACAGAAGTCCTTTCTAGAATTTATCTTCAGCACTTCTTTGTTAATATTGATGCGGTGCATGGGATTTTTACGCTACCTTGCGTAGCTTCTCATTGATGAACTATATTCCGATGGATTTTCTCGAAAATACTTCTTTTGATTAAGCACAATAGGCAAACTCATTCATTTGTTTCGTCTTATTTTCAGATAGAGTTTATTCCTGTGCTTACTTTTACACTGTCCTTCAGGAATTTTGTCACCCAGATTCAGATGTGCAAAAAAAAAAAAAAAAATATCAAAATATGGAGAGCCTGTTTTCTCTCTGAAAAAAAAAAAAAGAAAAGAAAAGTAAGGCTGAAGGCATGTCTTTAATAAAATAACATAAATCAAGTGGCTTATTCAACCCGTTTTGTCCTCAGAACCGCCGAGATAAAGTAGGGCACGGCATGGCTTTCTCCAAGCCACGAGCTGTTCTGGGACAGCTAACGGGATACCACGGAAAATCGATTGGCGGTACCTCATGTGCAGCTCGTAATTAGGCGCAGGGTGGCCTCCCTGCCAAATCTGTGCCCATGAGTATGTGCTCCCGAGGGAAGGCGGGGAGGTGCGTGTCCGTGTGCAGGGCGGCTACGAGAGGCTGCGTGTCTGTGCGTCCGTAGGTCAGGAGAGTCTGGACTGCCGAAGGGCAGGGTGCCGGGCTGCCCCGAGAGCTGCCTAAGCCGGCTCCCCCCGTGCCACGGGGCGCGAAGGGACGCGGCGAAGGAGCCCACGCCGCCCCTTCGCGGCGGGCTCTGCCGGAGCCTCCCTCCCGGCCCGGCCGCAGATCCCTCCCGGCCCCGGGCCAGCCCGTTGGCGGGGCTCGGAGCCGCAGTCGCAGCCGCCGGGGAGAGGCGATGGAGTGTGCCGGCCTAAAGCCTGAGGCAAGCGAGGAGGAAGCAGCGTGGGGAAACGGAGCGGAGCGGGGCGGCGAGGCCCGCTGGGGTGTGTAAGCAGGCTGCCACTCGGTGCCCGCTGTGACTCAGCCCCGAGCCTGCCCGCCGCGGGCTCCCTCCCCTCGCCGCCTTCTCCCTTCGCGGCTCCTGCCCGTGCGGGTGGGCTCCGCCTCAGCGCTGGGCACCGGCAAACGGAGGGAGACTGGGGAGGGGCCCAAGATTTCAGCGCACAGCTCGCCCTGCGGGCGACAGCCCCATCGCCCCGACCCCAGGGAAACGCACAGCGCTCTGGCCCCACCGGCGCACGTCTCTCCGCCCCCCGAAGACGCTCCCCTCGCCCTGCCCCGACAGAGAAACACAATTCTCTGCGCCGCACGAGCAAACATCGCCCTGAGTACGGCAGTGCCATCGCTCGGCAGCTGCCGAAGCGCACATCGCTCCGGAGCCGAGGGCGGGGCCCAAGACACCGGCGGTTCCCAGGCTTACAAAAGTTCCCCGTAGACTCGCTTTCCCCTCGCCACTCAGCCAAGACAGAGCCTCAGGCCCGAGAGGAGAAGCAGGGCAGGATCGCTGCCGGCCCCACGCCGGTCTCCCGTGGCCAGGGCGGGGCGAGGTGCGGCGCAGCGGCCGGGGAGAGGAGCCGCTCCGGGACGGGGCTGGGAGCGTGCGCAACCCCTCCGTTCCCGCACCTGCGGAAGGATTAATTTGTGTCCTCTGCGTAGCACAGCTCCGTTCAAGGACTTCGGGGAGCGCTGCGAGAAACGGACGGTAATTGAGCCCCTGACACGACCGCTTCGGGAAAGGGACAGCTGGAGGAGCCAGAGGGAGAGTTGTTGCAGGAACGCGGGTGTGATTAACAGCCCGGGCACAAGGACGGGCCGGGAGCGGGACGCGGCGCCGGGGCCGTGGCCGGACGAGCCGCGGCTTTACGGGGGGCGCAGCCGCCGCGCTCCTGAGCGCAAGGAGCGTCTTGGCGAGCAGCTCGGCTTCCCCAGGCTGAGCGGCGGGTGGGTTGGGGGGGTGGGGGGGGTGTCCCGGGACCGAGGCAGCCTCGGGCAGGGCGGGCAGGGCCGTGCTCGGCAAACGGCGCCCGTGGAAATCCGCGAGCGGGTGGGTCGTCCCGGCGCTGCGCTGGGGAGGCTTGCGCAAGCAAGAGCGGAGGAACCCGAAACGAAACTGCTCAGAGATGGTCTACGCCAAGAGCAATCACGCCCACTGGCACGTCGCCAAGGAGCAGGAGAAGGGAGACCTGAGCTCCTCTTCCAAGTGCTCGGGGGTTGCAGCTCGGAGTGCTTCTTTACAGTGCCCTTAGTGACCGCTTCTCTCCACAGCCCACTGCTGAGACTTTGTTCCGTGGACACATTCTTGTTTAACGTTCCAGAATATGCTGGCCATAACATGATATGCAAACAGACACAGTGTGTCTCCGACACACACCTTGCCCCGAGTCTCACTGAAACAAACCTCACACTGCGCTCCTGAGAAAGTCACTGCACCCCAAAACACACTTTCTGTTTTCACTCCCCGATGTGAACATCACCGTACACCACCGACACATACCTCGCCCTGTGGATGACAGCCCCATCACCCCGTGCCCTAAAACCACACACACCGCTCTGCTCCCTTTAACACACGCTGTGAGCTGAGCCCAACGAGAAACCACATCGCTCTGCTCCCCCATGGACACACACAGCACCCAGCGCCCCGCCACACATACTCCTCTCTGAATGCGACTCAACCTTCGGTCTGCAACACCAGTAACACACATCTCTGCCTCCATCCCACCCAAAACTCACATCGCTCTGCATCCCCCAAACCACATTGATCTCGCGTCCTGACACACACATCAGTCCTCTCCCCAAAGACTCTCCCCTCGCCCTGCCCCACTTGAGAAACACAATTCTCTGCCCCACAGAGCACACACACACCTACAACAGCCCCACGGCTCTGCTTCTGCCAACGCGCATATCGCTCTGGAGCTGATGGAGATGTTCAGCGGTTGCAATCAGAAGGAGAACTTATCTACATAAAGCAGATAAGCAGGCGCGTCTTTATTCCAGCACTGAAGAACACAGGGGATAGCTCCACCAAAGGCTTGTTCACGAACAGGTACAAAGCACAACATATTTATACACTTTTTCTGCTGAGTCATAGTTATGTAAGATTTAATAAAATGAATTGAATGCTTACTTCTTAATTTGACCTCTATAATGATTTGCTCTCAGTTACCTCACCTTACCTATATTCATATTCTACAGAAATCATTAGTCAATTTTACTGATTGATTTGTATACAGAGAGGGGAAGGTAATGGTTAGCATATTCATGTTATTTCCTGGAAGTCATTTTCATGTGCAAATGTGTCTAACACATGCCTTGTTATGTTGGACGGGGGTCCTCTGGTGGTCGTTGATAGTCTTCCTCACTCTGTCCGCTGATTGAACTGCATCCTTACACATGTTCATTTCATCTTTGGCTGATCTCCCAAACTAAAACCAGTCTCTTCTGGTACATATTGTTTTGACTCAAGGTCCATAACCAGTGCCCGCTGTTTTAATTCAAAGTCCATAGCAATTCCTATAGTGATCAAGGCAAACATCACACTAGTTACCTGTTCCTAAGGGCTGTAACACACCTTATATTCTCATAGCTGCTATAACTCCATATTAAAATTAAAATCATATTCTAGGATTCAAGCTATTTTATTAGGGTGACTGTACTCATCACACTTGCCTGACAGAAAGGCACTTCTAAGAGCCATCAATCCTGTAATTTAAAGAGGTTTGCCACTGAGGTTTTTCAACAGTTTTTAAATTTCCTCGTCTTCTAAGTCTCGTTTCCACAGTGTCCTTCGGGACCCGATTTTCATTGACTGTTGCTTTTTTACCCGTATCTCGCAGTCTTTTGTCTTAACCTGATGCTCTAAAATGTAAAATGACAGATATTCCCGAAACTCCCATGAGGGGGCAGCAGGGTCTGAGCCATCGCAGCCCCGGAGGCCCGTTTAGACCTTATGTTTCTATACGTTAGCATGTTCTGAAACCCTTAACGATCTCGTATCAGGAACCTTAGAATAAAAAAATAATACAAAAATAGGAAATTGCTTAATTAATCCTTTAAAGGTATATGTTTGAAAGAGATTTTTTTAGACGTAGGGAAGACAAATGAAATAAAGCAGTAAAAAAAAAAAGTGTTTCCTTACTGGTTACTTAAATCCTTGAAGACACTTTTAAATGTATTGGTATATGTCTATGACTGATAAAATAGAAGTTTATCATATGAGAACAGGGAGGGGGGACTGACTAGGGCTGAAACCAGCCTAAGTCGAGTAGAGGAAACGCAACAATCACTTTCCCAACTCTCATTTCAGACACCAAGGACTTTGGCACACAGGACACACATGATGCAGTAAAGGTGTGCTACAGCTAGCAATTGAAGCAGCCAACAAGGCTGCACACACAATAGGAAAACTCAGATAATGGCTAGGTTCACTAAGGCAGAAACACGCAAAGACGCAAGACCACAGGAAGCAGGACAAGAGATGGGGGTTGTGTTCTTAATGCTTAGCTATGCTAGGGCTTTTATATCATTGGGATTGAACGTTTATTGTTAAGATAATCAGATAACATGCCATCAGTAAAACAGAAATTAAAGCTCTTTTAATGATTAAGTGGGTGGCTCTTAAAAGAGCCTTTGGGTTAAGGGCCAGCACAGGGCAGAGCCGGCTTACTTGGAGCTGGTGTACTTGGTGACAGCCTTGGTGCCCTCGGAGACGGCGTGCTTGGCCAGCTCGCCGGGCAGCAGGAGCCGCACGGCCGTCTGGATCTCCCGCGACGTGATGGTGGAGCGCTTGTTGTAGTGCGCCAGGCGCGAGGCCTCGCCGGCGATGCGCTCGAAGATGTCGTTGACGAAGGAGTTCATGATGCCCATGGCCTTGGACGAGATGCCCGTGTCGGGGTGCACCTGCTTCAGCACCTTGTACACGTAGATCGAGTAGCTCTCCTTGCGGCTCTTCTTGCGCTTCTTGTCGCCCTTCTTCTGCGTCTTGGTCACCGCCTTCTTGGAGCCCTTCTTGGGCGCGGGGGCAGACTTGGCCGGCTCAGGCATCGCAGCAAACACACAGCAATCAGTCACTCACCCACGAACGACAAACTAGAAGCGAGTAACACCAGCGCGCGCCGGAGCCCCTTTTATAGCGGAGCTGCGCAAACCGCAGCTCGGCAGCGTCTCTACGCTATTGGTTGCGAGTTCTCCTTCGTGTCGTCACACCGTCCTAAGCATTGCGATTGGGCACCTTTGGATTCGCGTTGCCATTGGCTGCCGGAACAACGCCTCCTCCGCAGCCTATCAGAGAGAGCGCAGCCGCTCCGGCCGAGCCGTATATAAGCGGGCGGGCGGGGGCGAAGAGGCGCAGGTTGGTGTTTTGTGGAGCTGTTGGTGAGTGTCTGCGATGTCCGGCCGCGGGAAGCAGGGCGGGAAGGCGCGTGCCAAGGCGAAGTCGCGCTCGTCGCGGGCCGGGCTGCAGTTCCCCGTGGGCCGCGTCCACCGGCTGCTTCGGAAAGGGAACTACGCGGAGCGGGTGGGCGCCGGCGCGCCGGTGTACCTGGCGGCCGTGCTGGAGTACCTGACGGCCGAGATCCTGGAGCTGGCGGGCAACGCGGCCCGCGACAACAAGAAGACGCGCATCATCCCCCGGCACCTGCAGCTGGCCATCCGCAACGACGAGGAGCTCAACAAGCTGCTGGGCAAGGTGACCATCGCGCAGGGCGGGGTGCTGCCCAACATCCAGGCCGTGCTGCTGCCCAAGAAGACCGACAGCCACAAGGCGAAAGCCAAGTGAACTTTTTTTAGACTGGTCAGGAAACAAAACAGACAAAAAGGCTCTTTTCAGAGCCACCCACAATAGTCAAAAAGGGCTGATTCACTGCCTGTGGTTTTGGTTCTACTGGAAGCATGCAACAACACGTAAGCATTTTTTTTAAAGTGTTTATTTTACCTCTGACTTCCTGCCTGCTTTTGTTTTTTCTGTAAGGAGATTATGAATATTAAGTGTTTTTTTTAGAAAGAATTTGTAGCTGTTTCACGGAGTGATTCAATTTAATTGCTTGTTGATTATTTTTTTTTTAGAATTCCTATTTTTTAATAAAACGTTTTTCATGATGCTTGTAATGTATTAGCAGTGGCAACTATCCTTTTGTATGATATTAGAATAAATGTGCCTCTTAATAAGCAAATTCTGCTTTTGCTGTAAGTGCTTTGCAGTATCTGTTAGAAGATGCAAGTTTACATCTTTATATATCTGTATTTCTATTTTGTGGGAGAGCATCAAAGTCTAGTTGATTGCTGTTGTAACTGGCAGAGTCAGTTTTCAGACTTGAGGGGAGTGGAACAAAACAGGGAAAAATAAAATGCTGAAGAAATCACGTTCCAGTGGTGTCCTTCAACCAATTCTTTTGTATCAGGAGGGCTGTTCCTTGCTTCTGGCCCCCTTGCTGATTTCCATTTCTTACTGTGCTGTAACGCTGTTATGTGAGAGCTTACTGCTGGCTTTCCTTGGCAGAATTAATTGCAGAGCCCTGTGGAAGGATTGGAGGCATGACAGTGTTAGTAGTGGTTTGTGTAAACTGCCTGATGTGATGTGCCACTGTGGTGACAGCTGTTGTGTTACACTGGGAAGAGCACTATTGTTTTTTTTTTGTTTGTTTTTTTTTTTTTCCCCTGACACTACTGGCTGGTCCTGTCCCTTCTCCATGAGGGATGGGGAGTTTGTGATGCCACTAGCTGCTTGAGTTTCCTGGGGCTCTTTTTTTGTTCTCCAAGGTGTGGACATGACCTTGGTGATCAGCTGGGTGGCACTGGAGCAACAGGAGTGTTTTTCAACATGATCAGTTTTCCCCATCTCTGTCCTTCTGTATAGAGTAAATAGGTGGGTTAATGTACATGTGGAGCTGGTGTTCACTGAGTTTAGCTTTCCTAAAACTGAGTTGGTAATAAGTTCACCCATCTACAAGAGAGGGAATTCTCCACTCCTCCCTGTGTCTGTGTGTTCCATTTAACAAAACTGGCACTTGCATATAGAAACCACTGGGAATTGTAGGGGAAATAGCCTGTGAAATCCCCTGTGTACAAATATGTTATCCTGAGGTTGTGTGAGAGGATTTATAGTCTAGTTTCTAGACTGTAGAAACTTTCAAGAGGACAGTCTTTTGGACTACTTTGCCTTATAAATGAATGCCATGATATCAACAGTACAAATGCGATAGTACAGAAGATACAGTATTCATTTATATCCTTGTAGTTGTTATTCCTCTTATTTCCCTATTGCAGAATGCATTTAGGCATTGTGTAGCTCTAGTTCCATATCACATATCTGGGAAACAAAACCTTAAAAAAAAAGTGTTGTTATGTGAGGTCTAAAGTGTGAATGGCCACATGGACTCTAATGTATATTGTACAACCAGACACTTCTGTGAAGATGCTTCATAGATGTGGTTTAACAACATTGGGGTAAGCTTACCAAAACTAGGGCAGTTACATTTTGAAGATATATTTCTTAACAAGTTGGGTATGAACACCTGCAGTTTCCTATAAATGGCACAGATGGATTCCTGGTTATTTCATAGAATCATAGAATGGTTTGGATTGGAAGGGACATTAAAAATCATCCAGTTCTAACCCCCCTGCCATGGGCAGGGACACCTTCCACTAGACCAGGTTGCTCCCAGGCCCATTCAGCTTGGCCTTGAATACTTCCAGGGATGGGGCAGCCACAACTTCTCTGGGCAACCTGTTCCAGAGAACCTCCTCAGTAAAGAATTTCTTCTTTGTATCTAATCTAAATCTACCTTCTTTCAGTTTAAAACTGTTGCCCCTCATTGCTGTATTCCCTGACAGAGAGTCCCTCCCCAGATTTCCTGTAGTCCCCTGAAAATACTGGAAGGCCACTGTAAGGTCTCTCCAGAATCTTGTCCAGGCTGAAGAACCCCAACTCTCTCAGCCTGTCCTCAGAGAGGAGGTGCTTCAGCACCCCAATCATCTTTGTGGCCTCCTCCATACCTGCTGAAGCAGGACCCTGTCCTTGTTATACTGGAGGCCCCAGAACTGAATGCAGCACTGCAGGTGGGGTCTCATGAAAGCAGAGTAGAGGGGGCGAATCCCCTCCCTTGACCTGCTGGCCACACTGCTCTTGATGCAGCCCAGGACACGGTTGGCTTTCTTGGATGTGAGCGCATGTTGCTGGCTCATAGACAGTTTTTCATCCACTAATACCCTCAAGTCCTTCTCTGCAGGGCTGCTCTCAATCCACTCACCACCCAGACCGTATCTGTGTTTGTGATTGCCTTGACCCATGTGCAGGACCTTGCACTTGGCTTTGTTGAACTTTGTGAGATTTGCAGGGGCCCACCTCTCAAACCATTAACTCAGTTTTGCAATGGTAGCATGGGAGAGGAAGATGAAAAAGCCTGTGATTAAGAGACAAAGAGAAATCTGCCTCCCCAAGCTCGTGTGAATGCAAACACTTAATGACTCAGACAAGCTGGCACTCCAGACAGCCTGGCAGAAGGTAAATGGAGATTTTCCTGTTCCTCCTGCTGGTGCCAGAGATGGGGATTTGAGAATTGATCCACCTCCAGGGCCAGAGGGAGCCTGGGTCTGCTGCAGAGGAGTCAAAGGAGGGAGTGCCGTGTAGGGTGGGGCAAATTGAGAAAGGAAGGAGGGAGGCCAGGTCTGGGCAGAGAAGGATGATATGGAGGGGACGGGGGTGTCGTGGGGGTTGGCAGCAGAGTGGGCTACACTGCTGTGTAGCATCCTCCAACACCCTCCCCCCCACACAGCAAGAGGCACCTGAGAACGGTGGGGAGAAGGCAAAGAAAAGGGCAGGATATCTTCGGGAAGGGCAGAGCAGGGCCCTGGATTTTGAAATCCATAAACAAGCTATTTCTCTTTTACTTTTTCACCAATTACATTATTTTAAACTTTTTCATTAGCAAGAAATAAACCTGTAGGTTAAGCAGAAGAGTCCACATTACTCAGTTCAGGTAAACGCTGTAAATAAACCCCAGCTTTCTGAAGTTTCCTGATGTCCCTTGTTGTTTATACCCTGTGTCATTTCCTGCTGAGAAACACATTTCATGCCAATGTTCTCAGGTGGAAAATACTGTAGAAATTAAAAAATAGTAAACAACTTACCTGCCTTCATGGTGTCATGAAAAGGGTTAATCGCTCTGATTGTCCGTATCACTGTTTTAGGAAACCGTTCTTGTTTGATTTTTTTGTCCTGTCCATAAATGCGCAATTAGAACCTGCTCTTACAAGTCTGAAGTACAACACATACACTTCCCATGAGGTTTTGCGTGACATTTAAGAATCCGTTAACATTAAAACTCCAGGAGCTAAATATGCCTTATACCCCTATGACCATGACCATTTCACTACTACTCTGGGATTTGTACCAACGGTTTCAAAAGGCTGAGTTTAAAAGCCCCTGTATGTAGGGAGTGGAACTGATTCAGATAACTTGGCTGGGCTTCCTGAGCCAGCTCAGCTGAGCCCAGGCACCCAGGTTTGCTTGTGATGAAGTTAAGCCCAGCCTGCTGGTGCTTGGAAGACAGGACAAGGCAGCCCTGTTAAAGACATGATGTGTAAAAGAACTGGAGCTATGTCACTCCCATGGTAATTCTTGTACCCTTTTCTAAAAGGGATGATGAAAGATGCTAACTTTGCTGTGTCCCAAGCACACAAGGCAAAAACTTTATCATGTGAAGCATTCAGATTGTTTTGCATTGCAGTGGCTGCTACTTGCTACACAAGGGAAAGGGGATGCATACAAGAAATTCCTGCATTTCTTCAGATCTCTGATCTTGCACAAAGGTAGTGCAAGGTCCTTTACTCTTCATGAAGTCCAAATTTCGGTTTTAACTCTCCATGTGTGCCCCCTTCTTATTTTGGGAATTATTTCTTCTATTTTCCTATGATCCTTTCAAGTACAAAATCTACATGCAATGCAAGTAGGACTACAAGTACAAAGAGGTTGTGGAATTTACTGGAGATTAAAATTCCAGTTTGTCCTGATACTCCTTTCACACACAAACTGTTTATTTTCTAGTTTTAAAATGCAAGTATGTCCCAAATTGCTTCCTGAGCTTTTGTGTGTTAAAAAAAAATGAATAGAAGAACCTTTGAGATTAATACTTAGTATAATTTTTTACAAAGATTGCTTTTGGAACAACCTTTCTGTCAGGACAGGCCATCAAATAATTTAGTTCTTTGCAACCACCAAAGAAACTTAAACCAAAAACTAAAAAGCCCTTTCCACCTGCACAGGCCTCTGGTACTATGACCCCAGCACTCGAGGGAAGAGCTGCCCATTCTCATTGCAGTTCTTCTTCCTTCCTTGTAGGTATGTGACCTGGGAAGGGAGAAAGGGTGTTTTCAGCTGCATTTCCCTCCACTTCTCCTGGCACATTTTTGTCATGTCTTGAGCTGTGCTCTGCTCGGATATGTCACAACAGCAAGACCAAATTTTTGGAGCCCAAGGACTCTGGTTTTTCCTTTACAATCTGAACCAGGCACATTTTTAATTACTGGCCAAAAGCATTCCATAAAGGTGTATAAAAGACCAAATATTTTTTCATAGCTGCAGTTAATACTTTCTCCCTCAATGCTAAATTATTTTGAAATATATTATTTTATATTAAAACTGGAAAATAATGTCTCTAGGAAACTAACATAGTAATAAATTCCCCTGTGGGTTGAGTAATTAAAATCTCTGACCGTTAGGAAAAACAATTTGATTTCATAAGTAGGTGAGCAGCTATTGATTTACTTCATTAAAAAAAAAAAAAGGATCAGGAAGTAGTATGAATTTACTATAGCCCATGTGTGATCTGTTGAGGTGTTGAATCAGGTGTATGGCATCTATTTCTTGTTTCAAATTCACTGTGCAGTCAGTTATATAAAGTTATTTGTTTACCCAAAAGGTATATTTATCTTTTGCAGCAATAAAAGCACAACTTTTTAAAAATGTGATGATTAATAAATAGAAATTTTACTGTAGGTATGCTGATCTAGAGAAGATATATCTTTCCAAGAATGCTACTAACTTTATTATTCTAATAAAAATAAAGTAGGGGATTTTTTTATAACTGTTTGGATTGTTCTTCGGTTTTCTCAACGGCTCATTATTCACTACAAGTCTAAACTGTAATGTAACTGTGATAATTTGGTATACAAAAGTTTGCTGATCTAAAAAAAAAAAAAAAAAAAAAAGTATTTTGGCAAAAATATTTGTTTAACCAAAAATAAATATACCCTATATTTCAGTTTCTGTTAATAAAGAGGTATTTTGAAAATGGACATGGAAGGTACATATAAATACAGCACAAAGGGCCTGTTTAAATGTTATGTATTCTAGCAGTTCCCAATGTTGGGAATTGTTAGGATTAATAGCCTAGAAGCTAAAGTAGTTGAAACCTTAGGCTGCAAGAGCTGATGGAGGGTAAACTCTTTGCTAGAAGTAATGCTACAAACACAGAACTACTTGAAACTGGCAGATATGAGCAGAATGAAGATAAAGACCAAGGAAACAATGCCAAGAGAATGACGTAACTTCAGAGAGCGGCCACCCCAGTGACCAAAAAAGCCAATTAGAAATCGAGACAACTGACCAGAATTAAGGGATTCGGCAGTGGGTGGTACAGGTATAACTTGGGGGGGGGTGTGTGCAACATGCCGTAGGGGTTCTTCTTTGGAGACACCCAGCTCAAGCTGCTCTGCGTGTCAGATAAATAAACCACTAATTACCCACTGGATTGGAGACTTGTTTACTTTGGGCAGGAACCTGGGGCCAAGCCTGATTGAGGTGGCAGCTGCATAATTCCTACCATGGTCTAAGTGGTGGCAGCATAATTCCTACTACACCAGGGTGATGTATTTGAACGCTCTGTCATCTGACTGTTGCTGACTGATGTCATCTGGGTAAAATGGATTTAGGAATATGAAGAAGACTGCTTTGAACTGAATAGGAATGAACATGAATGATAGAAGAGTATGCTATCATATGATTTTATATTCGCATTGTTAATTTTGAATGTCCATCCTCCTGTGGGATGAAATTGTTACATTTGTTATTCTTGCTGAGCTTAAATCCTATTACTTTTATCTCCAGTGAAAAGAACAAGTACACAAAATTTTCCCCAGTAGTTGTTTTTTCTCATTTCAGAGACTTTGGTCTCAGCACTGATAGAAAAATAATGGATGTGTCAGATCTGGTCACATGTGTGCATGCAGAAATGCTGTGTCCATGTTATAGTCCCCTAATACCTTCTCATTCATACACAGAAGAAAAAAATCATAAGCAGCTTTTTCTTTTCCATTGGGTCATGAGTTTCATAAGCCTAGAAACAATTTCACGTACTGAACAGCCTTTTTTTAAAAAAAGAAGGGAACCCCTGAAATTTTTGTGAAAGCTGTGTTAACAAAGTGTGCAACATGGAGCATAGAGGCAGGAAAGGGGAAAAGAGTGCTTATAGATTCTTGAGTTAGGAGGCTAAAAGTCACCTCAGAGCTTCTACTTTAACTTGGCAAGAAGGCTGCCCTGTATTACCTCTAATTTGAACTAGCCTGTTGGCTGTTTTTTTTTTTTTTAGGACAACATAACTGAATTTGACTCTTACATGACAGATTATAAATAGTTACAGCCACTGACAACTTCTTTTGATGATTATCATCACAGTCAAAATATGAGCACTTTCAGTACAAGATATTTTGTAGGGTCCCTTCCTAATCACCCACACATCCCCTTATACAAAAACCTAGAGACTAGATTATAGCATGATTTATTCATCTTTTTAGGTATTGGATGTATACAGGGGCCTAGAATATGCAAACTGTGTCAGAGTTTGCACTAAGGCACTTGCAGAGCAGATCTCTAAACTCCATTTCAAGCTGCTGAAGAACAGAGCATAGAGAATGCCTCTTCCCACTTGATATCTGAAATCCAATCTGAGGGGTTCCCAGGAGTCTTCAAGCTGAAACTAACTTTGATAAATTGGTGGAAGAGACCTGCTGCCTCTATCTCTGTACCACCAAACAAAATGCAGTCACTACCAGAAAGGTTGACATTTGTGATTCTGTGGTCCATGTATGGATTGCGTTCAGAAGTCCACAGAATATGCTTGGAATTCAGGATTATTCAGATACAGTTTGAGAAAAGGTGATAATAATTTTGATTTGCATCTACAGCAGCATCTAATTACCCAAGATGTGATGGAGTGATTCAGAAAGCCTGTGATTTGCAGCTGAAGAATTTAGGGCTGATTAGTAGCTGTATGATAAACTCTGATAGTTCATTAAGTCAGCCCACAGTTACCAGTTTTAATATAATTAATGACATATAAATACAGGAAAGGTCAGTTAGGTATGAAATAACGTTAATCTACACTTTGTTGTAGAATATTCTCTACCTAAAACAGTTGAAGAGAGATGTTTTGAAAGCTTCTGTAAAAATTAGATGAACAGAAGTATTAAGAAAACTGCTGAAAACAAGTAAGTTTACAAAATATTATCTGTGTTGTATTAATCACTGATTGGTAACAGCTGATTAAAATAAATGCCTCTTGTTACTGAAGTCTTTTACAGTACAGTGCACTGTAGACACCTCTCATTCCTGAGGTGAAAAATAAAAAGAGTGAGAAGACTGAGAGCACCATCAAGTGGTAGATGTTATAGTGGTTACAGCGAGGTATGTGGACAAGTTGCCATTAGTAAAAATTTCGATTCCTTCCTGACTAGGAAACTACAGAAGCAGTTTTTTATTAAATTTACAGTGTATAAAATATGAATGTACATGATCTAACTGAAGTATTGCACAACACATGTACCACAGACTTCAAAAGACATCTGTAATACAACTATACATTAAGGAAACTAAAACCTAGAAGAAAAACACTCCTACAGTTAAAAAATTAGCTCCAGCACGTTATTTCCTTCCAAATAGAGGTTTTTTAACACAGAAAACTGGGAGAATATTGAAATTAATTTCAAGCGGAATTTAAAAACTTTAATTTTTAGGAATTAAAAGCTTTTTCTGTATTGATTGTACAGCCCTTTTCTGTGAAAAGGTGGGGGTGGCTCTTAAAAGAGCCTTTGGGTTAAGGGCCAGCACAGGGCAGAGCCGGCTTACTTGGAGCTGGTGTACTTGGTGACGGCCTTGGTGCCCTCGGAGACGGCGTGCTTGGCCAGCTCGCCGGGCAGCAGGAGCCGCACGGCCGTCTGGATCTCCCGCGACGTGATGGTGGAGCGCTTGTTGTAGTGCGCCAGGCGCGAGGCCTCGCCGGCGATGCGCTCGAAGATGTCGTTGACGAAGGAGTTCATGATGCCCATGGCCTTGGACGAGATGCCCGTGTCGGGGTGCACCTGCTTCAGCACCTTGTACACGTAGATCGAGTAGCTCTCCTTGCGGCTCTTCTTGCGCTTCTTGTCGCCCTTCTTCTGCGTCTTGGTCACCGCCTTCTTGGAGCCCTTCTTGGGCGCGGGGGCAGACTTGGCCGGCTCAGGCATCGCAGCAAACGCGCAGCGCTCACAGCCACCAACTGCCACAGAGAAAACAACACAGAAACGAATGAAGAGAAAAAGCAGCGTGCCACTTATTTATAGTTGCCTTATGCAAACGAGTAGCATTCTCTCTGCGTGCCTTCATTGGTCAGAATACAACCACGCGTCATAACGCCCGTATGACCGTTTTTTATTGGTCGGAATTCGATTCACCTTCTCATTGGCTGGCCAAAGGAGACCTACTTCTCAGCCTATCAGCGAAGGGGCGAGGTGGGGAAGCGAGACTATAGCTGCGGAGCGCCGGCGAGTTTCTACGCTCAGCTGCTCGTTGTGTTTAGGAGCGACCGAGCGATCAAGTAAAGATGTCCGGCCGCGGGAAGCAGGGCGGGAAGGCGCGTGCCAAGGCGAAGTCGCGCTCGTCGCGGGCCGGGCTGCAGTTCCCCGTGGGCCGCGTCCACCGGCTGCTTCGGAAAGGGAACTACGCGGAGCGGGTGGGCGCCGGCGCGCCGGTGTACCTGGCGGCCGTGCTGGAGTACCTGACGGCCGAGATCCTGGAGCTGGCGGGCAACGCGGCCCGCGACAACAAGAAGACGCGCATCATCCCCCGGCACCTGCAGCTGGCCATCCGCAACGACGAGGAGCTCAACAAGCTGCTGGGCAAGGTGACCATCGCGCAGGGCGGGGTGCTGCCCAACATCCAGGCCGTGCTGCTGCCCAAGAAGACCGACAGCCACAAGGCGAAAGCCAAGTGAACGCAAGGCGAAGGCAGCACGTTGTTTCTTCCGGAATAAAATAATCCAAAGGCTCTTTTCAGAGCCACCCACAAAATCATAAGAGAGCTCAGTTATCGGTACTATAGTTACACCATTTTATATGAATTACTCAACCCATTTTGTCTTATTTTCTGCATGTTTATTAACACTATTTTTGGCTTGGTAATAGTAGCAACGCTTTTCACGTTTTCTTTAACAAAGTCGTGCCAAAACGTCCTCCTCCCAAAGCAAGTAATTCCTGGTATGGATTGTTTTCCGTTTAGGTCTTTTGTCAGAGAAGATGGGAACACTGTTTCGGCGAGAGCTGCTGTACCTCCTCCCCCCTCCGTGTTTCTCTCCTCCGAGAGCGGCGGAAACAGCACCAGAGATACGAGGCGGAATCGTCTTCGGGGAAGGGGGGGGACAGGGCAGCGAGCCGGGCTCTCCGCTGGCCAATCCTTGGTCAGGGCGGGCTTTTTCAATCCTTAAAGCTCTTTCTCATCGGGAACAAAAGGAATGGGAAAGCTCGGAGCCATTATCGGGTCGTTAAGGAAACCCTCCCCTCCTCCCCCAAATACACAAAAGCATTTAAGGAGACACTTTAAGAGAATTAACACAATAGATTAGACGTGGCTCAGTAGTAGCGTGCCTGGCATATCCACTACTTTTGTTACAAAATATACCCTTAAAAAAAAACACATACATCTGATTTTTATCAAATCATTATTATAAAACATTGCTTCCTGGTAGACAAACCAATTACTCGGCAGAAAATAATGTAAAAGTCTACACACTTCCCTAAAGCCGCCGCGGTATACCGCGCTCAAGTGCGTTTCTTTCGGTAATCCTAGGGAGAAAAAAAGCCGTAATTGACCTCTGACGACTTACGAATTACTGGATCCTTGCCGCAGGTTACTGACGACCTCGGTGCCTCAGCTCCTTTAGGGAAAGTGTGGGTGGCTCTTAAAAGAGCCGTTGGATAATAAAGTATGTAGAGCAGGACTCTTCTGGTATAATTTACTTCTTTTTGGGCGCCGCCTTCTTCGCCTTGGCTGCTTTCGGCTTGGCCGTTTTGGGCTTGGCTGCTTTGGGCTTCACCGCTTTCGCCTTGGCCGGGCTCTTCGCTGCCTTCTTGGGGCGACCTGCCTTGGCCGCTTTTTTGGGGCTCTTGGCCGCCTTCTTGGCCGCGGCAGCCGCCGGCTTCTTGGCTTTCTTGGGGCTCTTCTTCACCGCCGCCGCCTTCTTGGGCTTCTTGGCGGCGCTGGCGGGCTTCTTGGCCGCCGGCTTCTTGGGCTTGGCCGCGGCCGCCCGCTTCTTGGGGGCTTTTTCCTTCACTTCCCCGGGCTTCTTATTGAGGCGGAAGGAGCCGGAGGCGCCGGTGCCCTTGGTCTGCACCAGGGTGCCCTTGCTGACGAGGCTCTTGAGCCCCAGCTTGATGCGGCTGTTGTTCTTCTCCACGTCGTAGCCGCCGGCGGCCAGCGCCTTCTTGAGGGCGGCGAGGGAGAGCCCCTTGCGCTCCTTGGAGGCGGACACGGCCTTGGTGATCAGCTCGGTGACGCTGGGCCCCGCGGGCTTGCGGGCTCGGGAGCCGCCCGCCGCCTTCTTCGGCTTCTTGGCGGCCCCGGCCTTGGCGCCAGGCGCGGGCGCATCGGGGGCGGCGGCGGGAGCGGTCTCGGACATCGCGGCGGCGGCGGCAGCGTCCTCTGCGGAGCAGGCGAACACAATTGGGCTGGTGCGGGTCAGCTGCCCGGCTTTTTAGCGAGGAGCCGCGCGGTGATTGGTGCGTTGCAGAGCCCGCCCCGCTGCACGGCCGGGGAGCCCTTGGGTCTGCTCGATTTGTGTTTCTTTGGACTAACAAAAGTGTATTTTCCGCGGAATTTCTGCCACCAAATCGGCCCGTTTCCCCGGTGAGGGAGGGGAAGAGCAGGTACTTGCGTTCGGGAGAGTTTCCAGCCGCAAACGCGCGGGCTGAGTTAATGGAGAAGCGATAAATCCCGTGTGCTGCTGCTGGAGGGACCTCTGAAGAGAGAAACTTTTGTTTTTCCTTGCAAATTAAAAATTTCCTTTTGACATAAATGTTACAGCAACGACTCAGTCTGATTCTTTAGAGGGTTTTCTTGGGGTCAAAGTTGAAATCTGCCGATTTAAAGCTATTTTGACAGTTTAAATTGATTTTGAAGAGGAGGAAGTAACACAAACTCCCCTTTCAGCTCTGAATATGGATTAAGAACCGGTTCCTTTGACCATGTGTTTTACCTCCTAAAACGCTAAACTCTACTGAAATAGTGTCTCGTACAACTTCCTATTGCACTTTTTATAGAGCCATTAGGTATTTGTTAATATCTGGAGACTGACGAACATACAGTTGTTTTATTTTGGCTTCCTGGAATTGCAGTAGAAGGGAGGCAAACTTACCCTGATACCTTGTATTGGGTGTTTTCTCTCTTTTGTTTGTTTTCCATACGAATTTCTATACCAATTATTAAGTAAATGATGCTATTTGCTTTTCATGTTGCATTTCAATTTCAAGTAAGCAGTCATTTGCTATCTGATGTTACAAAACTGCAGCTTTATAACAGAAAGGAACCTCCTAAACTTCTGGAGGTATTTATTGAAATTATCTTTGTCTCTACTAATTTAAGATGTGCAAGGACTAGCATAGTAGTCTAGTAGCTATGCTCTTTGTGCCCAGAGAAGATTATCACGTTCTGTATTTTCTCTAATAGTAGTAGAATTTAATATGATAATACAGTTTGGGTTTGGTTTTTTATTTTTTTTTTTACACATCTCACACCGTATGCCTACACAAAGGTTTATCTAAAGGCAATTCTGAATCCGCTTCCCACTCTAAATAAAGCCCACCTAATTCTTCCTTATGCTTTTTACAGCCATCACTGAAATGAGGAAATCCTTTCAGAACAAAAACTAGAGCGCTTTGTGATAACCTGAGTTTTAACAAGGGGAGAGGTAGGCCATAGGTCGCTCCTAAAGAACCAGGAAGGATTCAATCAATATTGGTATCTGGTGGAAGATGATTTAATATGCTGGACAGAACAGATCTCCGGAATAATCTTTCATTAATCTGTACATGTTTATAAACAAGTATCTTATTCACCGCCTTTTGTAGTTATTTAAGAATCGCAGAGACTATACTTCAGCCCTGTCCTCTGATTTCCTTTGATATTATCAGATATAACATATATTATGAATACAGTATTTAAGTACATGTTAGCAAGCAAAATTTCAGATTGTATGAATAGGTAGTTTTAAGTAAGTGTAATCCTATTTCCACCTCATTGTTTCATTTACAATGGGTGTTTTGTAAATACCGAATGTGTTTATAACATGAAAACATTTTAGTTTGCTGTACAGTTGGGTTTCAGTGAATATTAAACTATGAGTAAATACAATGAAGTGAAAAATTGCAACCCGCACTCTAGGAAAAAAAAAAAAAATAGAAAAAAGATTGCAGGAAAAATGCACCTGAGCTCTGTAATGCTTCAACAGGAAGATAATTCAGAGAAGGGCTAATCAAATCAGGACTTTCAAGGCCTTGTTTGCAAAAGTGATTTAGCATAAAATAAGAATACAGGAATTAAATAAATTGGAGTGGATGTGGGTATTGAAGATACACCTTCAAAAATATAAACATATTTTCTAGATGTATATAATAAATATATAATTTTTAAGCCTCTATCCTATATGTGTTTGTAAATCAATGAATGACACTTTCCATTGCCTTGACTACATAGTGAAATAAAGTAATGATGCTGGGAGGAGATGACTTTTAGCAGCTACCAAGACACTTTATAGCACAGAGAGAGGGGAGAAGCATAGACCATGAGTGGCATGTCCACAAAATGAAAACTCATGTTACCTACACTTGTCATTTGGAACTCATACACATTTACTTCACTAACCTTCACTGGAGGACATTTAAATACCCCAGCCCTCTGTTGTGGCTTCACAGAGTCTTGATTCATATTTATTGGTGGCTGAAATTAAGGTGGTTAAACTGGTCACCATCCCAGTTGTCTGCCTGGCTTTTCTCCCAGCAGTTGCCACCCTCTCCCCATTCCCAACAGGGACAGCTAATAATACGTATAGCAGCTTCTGATCTCCAACAGTAACAGTCTACTATCTTAAAATAAACTGAAGTAACTTCAGAAATTTCATGACACAGGGAGAAGCTCTGATCTATCTTTTTTAGTGGCTTTGCTGAAAGGACATAAAATAACTTTAATGGTGTAGAGTTGCTGCTTGGAATATGTGTTCTCTACATGAAAGACATGCAGGAACAACATTTTGGGAAGTTAAGGTGCATTTGGCAGTTTTAAAAGAGTTTGCTCTGCAGTCAGAGCAGATAGTTTAGAAGGAACGGACAGATGTACTCAGACAAAGAAATAATGTGGTAAAGGATTACATAAAAGGCAGGAATGGCAGTTTCACCTCAAAATGAGAAAATGAGAAAATTAAATAATCCTGTTTTAGGTACATGATATTGTAGAAAGACTTAATGAAGAAGTTGCCACATAGAGTCTGACATATAGTTTGGCTTTCCCAATGATACTAGAGGGAGATAGACTTCATCTTTCATTAAAAGAGGAGGAGAATGATACCAGGATACCCAGAGATACTTTTGGAGAGAGCATTGCTGTAATGGCTACTACATCTGAATGACTTAAATCCTTCTCACCTCATGGGCACCCAAGCAGGCCACACAAGATTACAATCTGAACACTGCAAGTAACTTCCTCTCAGGTGCCCAGGTCTGTCCAACTTTTGAAGTTGTCTATTAAGGCCTGTTAGCATAGGAAGGGAGGCACATGAACCACAGCCAAGGGCTGGCACTGTACCTGGGAGCTATCAAACATTCCCATCTCCAGCTTAGGACCTGCCAGTACTTGTTCCTAAAAAAATGAGCTCTGGGTTATATTTAGATATATTTGTAATAATGAGAGATAGCATGGTACTTCTTCTTCTCAAGCAATTTTCTTAGGAGGCGTTAGCATGAGAGCTAGCTGCACAAATGCGGCTAATGGGCTGTTCTACCTGCAGTAGGTGAGTCCCATGGTCAGTCATTCTTAGACAGCTGGATGAAGTTGGAGAGACATGCACTTGATTGATGGACCACTCAGTGGATAAGGAATTGACTGGATGGTTACACTCAAAGAGTCATGGTCAATGGCTCAATGTCAGTGACAAGTGGCATTCCTCAGGGGTCGGTATTCGGACCAGCGCTGTTTGACGTCTTTGAGAGAAACATGGGCAGTGAGATTGAGTGCGCCCTCAACACGTTTGCCGATGACACCAAGCTGTGTGGTGTGGTCGACACGCTGGAGGGAAGGGATGTCATCCAGAGGGACCTGGACTGGTTTGAGAGGTGCCCTGTGAGAACCTCATGAAGTTCAACAGGGCCAAGTGCAAGGTCCTGCACATGGGTTGAGGCAATCCCAAGCACAACTACAGGCTGGGTGATGAGCGGATTGAGATGAGTCCTGTGGAGAAGGACCTGGGGATGTTACTGGATGAAAAACTGACTATGAGCCAGCAATGTGTCCTTGTAGCCCAGAAAGCCAGCCTTGTCCTGGGCTGCATCAAGAGCAGTGTGGCCAGCAGTTTGAGGGAGGTGATTCTCCCCCTCTACTCAGCTCTGGTAAGACTCCAGCTGGAGAAGTGTATCCAGCTCTGAGACCCACCCAGTATAAGAAGGACATAGACCTGCTCACACTGGTCCAGAGAAGGACACAAAGATGATCAGGGGTTGGAACACCTGCGCTATGAGAACAGGCTGAGAGAGTTGGGGTTATTCAGCCTAGAGAAGAGGAGGCTCTGGGGAGACCTTATAGGTCTTATAGTTGCCTTCCAGTACTTAAAGGTGGCAACAGGAGAGCTGGGGAGGGACTCTGTCAGGGAGTGTAGTGATAGGATGAGGGGTAATGGCTTTAAACTGAAAGAAGGTAGATTTACATTAGATATAAGGAATAAATTCTTTACTGTGAGGGTGGTGAGACACTGGCACAGGATACCCAGAGAAGCTGTGGCTGCCCCCTCCCTGGAAGTGTTCAAGGCCAGGTTGGACAGGGCTTTGAGCAACCTGGTCTGGTGGAAGGTGTCCCTGCCCATGGCAGGGGGGTTGGAACTGGATGATCTTAAAGGTCCCTTCCAGCCCAAATCATTCTGTGATTCTATGATTCTAAGTACAGCTCATAAACCTGTGTACCCACAGCCCCTCTCCTTCCTTCAGGTGACAATTTCCAGAGAGATTTAGGTGAGGGCCTTAACGTTATGTGCTGCACTCCCTTGCATATGTTCCACAGGAAAGAGGTGTAAATACTCCCTGCAACCATGATTACTCTCCTATTTCAGTGTTACACCCATGCCTTACTTGCCCTCAGTGACTTCATCCTTCATCTGAGTTACAAATGTAATAACTCCTGTGATCAAACCAGCCAGCACAGTTTAACAGCTTTTAACCCTTAGCTAAACAATTTTAAAGTGGTACCTACCAAACTGCAAACTTGTTGCAGCTCAGCAAACAAGTCTCTGCCTACATAATACTAATGTTGCTACTGATGGTGTTGTTATGACTCCTAAGTGTACTGAGGCCACACAAGGCGTTTTAAATCCAGTGTATGTCTGAGCATCTGCAGTGGGCAGGTCAAATAGGGTAGGGCAACCGATGACTGTCCCTGCAGACTCAGCTTCCTGGAATGTTGCACACTCCTCCCTGTATTCTTGGTTAAGGGTTGGGGCAGCTGTTGTGGCCTCTCTTCATCATTGCCATGGCATGTCATTTGGGAATTGAAAAACTATAGTCCAAAACCTAGATATGTCCATAGGTAGGAGGCACTGGGAAGGATGCCTTTCCTGGGGGAAAAAAAAAAAAAAAAAAAAAAAAAAAGTAAAAATGCAGAGGGTCAAAACCCTTCCCAGAACAGCTGATGAGGAAAAAAAAAATGCACTCTCCGTTGTCCAGGAGTTTATCAGTTTAACACATTTTTACTTTTCTCACACATAGGCAAAGAAAAGGTTCTCTCTGTCAATCAGATAACAAAGAACAGAATATTTTATGTCTAAAAATTCTTTGGTCTTCTAAAACTAACCTAAGGCAATAGACAAACTGTCTTCTGGACCACTCTGGCATGCTTTGAATGTAGTCATGAAGCAGCGATTGAGCAGCTCAGGCCCTGAGACAAACTGTCCATGAAAGGTAAGCAACATTAACAGAAGCTCCATCAGCCATGGCTTCCCAAATAAATCATTTCCTTCTGAATTGGCAGTGGCTCTCTCTAACTTATATTTAATAGTGAATTCTACCAAGGAAGAGTGCTACCACACTGTCTGTTCAGAGCAGCCTCTCAATCAGCACTGTGGCCTGGCTGCTCAGACCAGCGAGCAGCTCACAGAGTGATGCCGTGAGCAACTCGCTCTTCCTCCCCACAACAGCCTGGCACTCCTGTGTGCTTTCTGTCCTCCACCCTTTCCTATCTGTGTGCCCGTGCTCCCCGTGACTGCTGGTAAGAGAGAGGGAGCAATGTGATCAATATATGCATCCCCTCCCATTTCAGCAGAGCGGTGTTTTGTACCTATGAAGGGACAAAGTGTCCTTGAGCATGCAGTGCATGCACAGCTGGGCTGCAATTCACCATCTCCCCGGCTGGTGACACCCCAGGTGCTGATGTGACAGGCATCCCAGCTACGTTCGGGTTGGCAGGAAAGCCTTTATTCTTTCCTGCACAGGCAGTGATGGTGGCACCCAGACTGGTGTAGGCCAGACTACTGCCATTGCTGAGAGCCAAAGCACTGTACCACACACCATGTGAAGGCACTCTCATTAAGTGATGCTGCCTTGCCAGTTTTCCTCAGCAGTATGGGGATGAAGTAGGCACTGGCTCCAGATAAGGCTCATTGTGCCATGTTGGTAGAGCAGGAGTATCGCAAGGTAGCGCTTGGGTGCCAGCAGTATAGGCTGTCTGTCTTCCCATAGAAGGAAGTAAAAAGGTTTTGAAGAATTGTTCAACGTGTAAAAGTGCTGGGCTGTAGCTTATTTTCTTTTACAGCACATGCTTCACAGCTGTGCAATCCATGGGCTGGTGCCAGAGCAGCACTGGCACTGGTTAGGATGTCATCCAGACTGCCAGGGGCACTGGAAGGGCCGGCTGGTGCCCAGATTTCCCCACAATATACAAATGAGGCCAGTCACTCAGCACTCCTGCTATCAGACAGTTAGGAAGTCAGGAGTCCGGCTTTGCAAGCTCATGAGAGTATGTGTAAACAGTGTAGGCACATTGAAGAAGAATGTATTTCACCGATTCTACTTTCTGTAATAAATATATTAAGACTAAATTTTGGTCTTCCTGACATAGGTTTTCTTTGGTTTGGACACTGAAAAAGCAATCAAGTTTTGGTTGATTTTTGCATGAAATAAGGAGTAGAACAACAAGGTTAACTTTTGTATGCTGTTTGAAATTGGTAGTTTGTAACACCTTACATTTAATTGTATGGTTAACAAGACTAGCCCACAAGGCCGACACTGAGCAGCTAGGAGCAGGGATCAGCCTGTGTGCAGCCATAGAGAGTTGGTAAATAAAGAAAAAACAGCTGGGGTTTTGAGTTTACCCAAACTGCTACAGGAGGCACCTACAAGAAAGGAAACTTAATAGCCCAAATCACTCAAAATTTTTGAGAAAAGGGTGTGCTGATCAATAAAGTAATCTTCTGGGTAATTCTGATTTTAACTGTCCCTATCTAATGCACGTTCATTTATAAAAACATAATTCCTGGAAAAAAAAAAAAAGAAAAAAAAAAAAGCCTAAGTGTACTAAGTGTAGACAAAGGTGTAATCTGTGCTTATTTTATTGCTTCTTTAGAAGCAAACAAGCCTTGACATGCCTGAGTACATGGAAAGACTTTAAAGGGTTACCACTCTCATCTGCGTCACTGGATGAGGACAGAAATGTTAGTTTGCATTTGGCACTAATGAAAACAAAAGGTTCTTAGAGTTGAAAAGTTCGGGTTTAGGTTTTTCTTTTTCTCATGTTACAACATGTTCTTATTTTCATAACATGGTGAATGGTCTTAGCTCTGGGGTTTTTTTCTGGTCACCACCACCTCCGTAGGGTATCAGGATCACCCAGGTATGATCTCTTCAGTGTTGAAGGACACACTAGCTCTACGGGCTATTATTGGGGCCTCACAAGCCATAAGACTGAGAGAGGACAGAGAAAGGATACAGAGTATAGTCGTAGAACTTGTTTCTGCAGTTAGGAATATCAGCATGGATCTAGAGTGGGGAGAAATGAATGGCCAATATGAGTGGGATACCTCTGAGATTGTTCTGCCCTTCAGATTGCATTCCAAACAGAGACTTATGATCATAACACTGGGAGACCTAAGTAATTCATAGGAAAATTCCACCTGGGACAATATCCCATCGGTGAGAGAGGCCAGTAAAAAAAAGAACATAAGAAGAATAACTGGTATCTCATCAAAATGATCCCTTACATCCTAGTGATTTATAGGCCAGAAGCTCCCTGAGTCGGTGGAAATGTCTTTGAATTGGAGAACCCTGAATGGATTTGGCTCCTGTATGTTTATTGATTGCTTTCTCTGGACATAATACCTCTCATTTTTCATGCTGTAGGATGTGGATTTAGCATGACATGTTATAAAAGACCGAGGAATAGGTACAGTAGGAGTGGCAGATGGAAAAATAGGTGATGGACATGTATACTACACGGAGCATAACCCTTTCATAGAAGAGAATCTCATTTATATACAGTTAAGTGTCCGCAGTGTCTGTGTGTGTGTAGCAATGGTGCTGGAAAACATGCTTCCTATGGTATAGAAGAAATGGGACACAGTGTCAACCAGTAAAGAGAGTGAACTGAACCCTGTTTCCTGTAGCTGAAGGGAGATGAAGAGAATATATTTGAAGCAGAGGGAATGACAAGTTATTTGAAAGAAAAATAAATCAGGAGTTTTCAGGGCCAGGCAGAGACATTCTTATATAAAATATCTGAGCTGAAAGATGCTGAGAAAGAATTACCTCACCATTATATTGTTAGATCCCATCCCTTGCACAGGCCTTGCCTCTTGGAGTCACTGTGACTGAGGCAGAACCAAATGCCAATGTCAGCAAGACAAAAGGTTATTAGAGTTCACAAAGATCTCCCTGATTCCTGTGTCTTGAAGGGCTCTCCTCTGTCTCTGTGTGGATAATGGCATGAGGAACACAGGCGAATTCTACATATTGGAATTATGCTAAACTCATAGCCCCAGTGGGCCCTGAGATACAAAAAGGAGGACTGTGGGGATAACCAGCAGAACTGAGGTATGTATTTAACAGTCGTGATGACTGATTTTCAGAGTTATGAAGTTGTACCAAAGTAATAGAAATGTTGTTGCTGTCAATGTACACTGGTGAAAGGAAAACATATAAAGTGAAAGAAAGAACATCTATCCATTCAGAACAATGTCAGCCCTTTGAAAACATGGAGGTATGTATGCACATAGCTGATGTAGCCAGTTTTATTCTACATTTGACATACATGACTAATTTTCATCCAGTCAGAAGTGGTAATCTAAACGGAAATATCATGCTTTTTAAATGTGACCAGAATGTCTTAATATGAAGCAACACTCCAGACACAGAATAGAAAATAAAGGATCTTGTTCAGTTCTGTGCTGAAAATGACCTTTGCAGCCTTGCCAGTGATGCAGTGGTCTGAAATACAGGCAGATCCAGCATCTAGAAAAACAGGCACGCTTCTCTGAACTCTGAGGTGAACACATAGATGTGATTTCCTGATGCTTCACAGCAAACAAGCTGAATACTAACAATAAGGCCGTGGAGGTGAACCTGCCAGGCCTACGTTTAGCAGTGGGTTCTGAAACATGGTGAGTGTGACCGTAAAAAAGATCCGCGCAGAGTTTAAGGCTGCCGGTTCCCTCGGCGGTGGAGTTCTCTGAACCCCTGGCAGAGAAGGCAGCGCGCGCCCCGCCGCCGCTCCCGGAGCGGAAGGTGCCGGGAAGCGGCGCCTCGGCGGCCCCGGGGCGGGGGGAGGGCGAGCGAGGCGGGGGCGGGGCCCCGGGAGGGGCCCGGGAGCGGCGAAGGGCGAAGGCCCCGCCCCCGGCCGTGCCCGTCCCTGCTCCCAATCAGGTCGGACCCACCGGTATAAAGGCCGCGGCGCGGGCCGTGGCGGCTCATATCTCTCTGGGGCAGCAGCGGTAGCGGCAGCAGTAGCAGCGTCAGCATGTCTGGGCGCGGCAAAGGCGGGAAGGGGCTCGGCAAGGGGGGCGCCAAGCGGCACCGCAAGGTGCTGCGCGACAACATCCAGGGCATCACCAAGCCGGCCATCCGGCGCCTGGCTCGGCGCGGCGGCGTGAAGCGCATCTCGGGGCTGATCTACGAGGAGACGCGCGGCGTGCTGAAGGTGTTCCTGGAGAACGTGATCCGCGACGCCGTGACCTACACGGAGCACGCCAAGAGGAAGACGGTGACGGCCATGGACGTGGTGTACGCGCTCAAGCGCCAGGGACGCACCCTCTACGGCTTCGGCGGCTGAAGCGTTTTGCTCCCGCACCATCTCGAAAACCCAAAGGCTCTTTTAAGAGCCACCCACTTTGTTCTTTGGAAGAGCTGTGTCGCCTCACGCTATTCGGCCTAGTTTTTGGCCCGCTGGTGCTCTTGTCTCCCGCTCTCCCGCTCCCTCCTTATGCCCACCCACGCCTCATGTTGCCGAGCTGCGGCCGAAAGGGCCGCTTGCGGTTCGGCTCCGAGTCCCCCTCTGGCCCCCTGCAGCCGCATCGTCCTCCTTGCCGAGCCCTTTTGCCGCCTCTCCCCTTGCCGGCAACTGCTTTCGGAGCAGCCGCCTGGTCCGCTCCGCCCCTCAAAGCGAGCGGCGCGCCCGCCCGTTCGTGCCTCTCTCCCCGAGGCGCTTAGCGCTCCCGGGCAGCCCCGGAACCTGCCGGGGCGCGAACGGGAGGGGCCTCGTGCCCCTTCAGCGACTCGCCTTGGGCAAAACACGGGCCAAGGGACCGGCCGCCCTGACCCAGTAGTAAAAGGAAAGGGCGAACCGTGGCTGTCTCGCCCCGTTCCCGACTGCGGGGCGGCGGACCCTCCGTTCCCTCGCGCCCGAAGGGGGAAGCTGCGGGCGCTGCACCGGGTTCGCTGGGGCCAGCGGGGCGTGGAAGGGGCCTCTGCGCTGGGGCGGGGGGCGGCGGCCTCCGTGGGCGGGGATCCGTGACCGGCGGCGAGCGCGTTAAGCGCCCTCGATGTCTCGAAAAGCCGGGCACTCGCCGCAGCACAGCCCCGGCGCCGAGCGCTACCCGACCGGGAGAGCGGCGCGATTTTCCAGCCGCCGGGCACGGCGGAGGTGAGGGGCCCATGAGCGACGCGCAGGCTTCCCCGCCGCGCCCGGGCTCTGGGGCGTAACCGCGCCGGGTGCGGCCGCAGGGCGGGAGAAACACCCACCCCCAAAACTCCCGCACACTCGTGCCACTGGAGAGCCAGCGCTCCCTTCGGAAACGCGCGCGCCCCGCTCCCTCCCCTGCCGCCCGTCCACCCGCTCGGAAGCGGCTCCAGCTCCTTCTCGGGGCCGTGGGTGGCTCTGAAAAGAGCCTTTGGGTTTCGCTTCTGGGCTCGGGACGCTTCCCCGGGCGCGGTCTACTTGCTCTTGGCTTTGTGGCTCTCCGTCTTCTTGGGCAGCAGCACGGCCTGGATGTTGGGCAGCACCCCGCCCTGCGCGATGGTCACCTTGCCCAGCAGCTTGTTGAGCTCCTCGTCGTTGCGGATGGCCAGCTGCAGGTGCCGGGGGATGATGCGCGTCTTCTTGTTGTCGCGGGCCGCGTTGCCCGCCAGCTCCAGGATCTCGGCCGTCAGGTACTCCAGCACGGCCGCCAGGTACACCGGCGCGCCGGCGCCCACCCGCTCCGCGTAGTTCCCTTTCCGAAGCAGCCGGTGGACGCGGCCCACGGGGAACTGCAGCCCGGCCCGCGACGAGCGCGACTTCGCCTTGGCACGCGCCTTCCCGCCCTGCTTCCCGCGGCCGGACATCCTCGCTCGCTCCCTCGATGCGCCTCTACCTCACCCGCGCTCGCCGCCCAACTCCCGCAGCTCCGCGGACAGGCCGGTGCCAGGCCCGCGCCCTGAGGCCCGCCCTTATATCCCTTCCCTTTGCGCGGTCCGCGGCTCCTGATAGGCCGAGGCACCCGGCGGGGCACGCGCACCCAATGGCGGGGCGAATCTCGCCCTGACCAATCGCCAGCGCCGCCGCGCCGAGGCGCCTCCGCCCGACCGCTCGAGCCGCCCGAGGACGGCCCGCGAGGGGCGGGCTTCGGCGCGCGCCCCCGCCCCGCGGGAGCGCCCGGACCCGCGCGGCCGCTCAGCTCCCCGCCGCGCGGCCCTTTTCCTTCCTTCCCCCCCCCTCCCCCCCCGCCGCTTTTCATTGCTGGAAAGCAGCCGGTGGCAAAGCGCGGGCTGGGCGGCTGCAGTTCGGGCGCTGGGGAGGAACAGACGGGCGGCGTGGCTCGGGCCGCGAGCGGGGACGGGCGGGACGCCTCCACGCGTTCCCTCACGCCGCGTCTTTGTCGCGCGGGGAGGTCTCGCCCCTTTCCTACACTGCGTCAGCCCAAAGCTTGCCGACCTTCCCAAACGACACTCGCTCCTTCGCGTCGCAAAAACCACCACACCTCCCGCCCTTCTGCCCCAAAAGCGCGGAAAGGAGCTCGGGCTGAGCGCGGCCCCTGCACGCTCGGCCGCCTCCCATCCGGCACTGCAGCTACAACCTTTAGGTAATTTACCAATCTAAACATTTTTATTGTTTACACGTAGGATTGATTTTGAATTAAATGAAGACAGAAAATTATATTTCTCTAAGTGCAACAGCTCTTTTTTCTGTGTGTGGAGTGGCTCTTAAAAGAGCCTTTGTGTTGTTTAAGTAAATATGCGGTAGTATTCTAAACCGGTTTATGCACGCTCGCCGCGGATGCGTCGGGCCAGCTGGATGTCCTTGGGCATGATGGTGACGCGCTTGGCGTGGATGGCGCACAGGTTGGTGTCCTCGAAGAGCCCCACCAGGTAGGCCTCGCTCGCCTCCTGCAGCGCCATCACGGCCGAGCTCTGGAAGCGCAGGTCGGTCTTGAAGTCCTGCGCGATCTCGCGCACCAGGCGCTGGAAGGGCAGCTTGCGGATCAGCAGCTCCGTCGACTTCTGGTAGCGCCGGATCTCGCGCAGCGCCACCGTGCCGGGCCGGTACCGGTGCGGCTTCTTCACGCCGCCCGTGGCCGGCGCGCTCTTGCGGGCCGCCTTGGTGGCCAGCTGCTTGCGGGGCGCCTTCCCGCCCGTCGACTTCCGCGCCGTCTGCTTCGTGCGCGCCATCGCTCTGAGACGAGCAGCTGCAACAGCGAGGAGCAAACACACACAGACACGCTGCTTGTGCTCCGGGAGTATTTATAGCACCGGTCCCTCCTCTGATAGGCGGGTGGGAACAGGCTGAATTCCATTGGTGCATTCAAAGTTTAAAATTCCCGCCACCGGCAGGAAGCTCCTACCCGGGGGCGTCTTTTTTCTTGCTGTATGCCGCCTAGAGACAGACTTTCTTTTATCATCAAACATTTTACGTTTCCGCGAACACTTCGTATACGCCTGTTTTAGAAGTCGTTTAGTCATCTTCAGTTAATAGTTTAGACTTAACTTAAATTTTTCTCTTTTTCTCGGTGCTTTGCTAAGTTACCCATATTCTTTTGCATGGCTATTTCTGTGCAGCAGTAGAGAATATAAAAAGTTCTCTGCAAGATATACGTTATTTTAAATTATATTTTGAAGGAAATCAGAAACAAAATGTAGAAGAGATCAGAGGGGGAAAGAGAATAAATGTGGAAGAAATATTGTAAAGGAAAAAATAATTAATTTGACTAGAAAAAGTTAAGTTTAAGGAAAAATTCGAATTCTTTCACGGTATATGTCGTTTGAGTGCTACAGGAACATGTAAACTCTACGAAGCAATAAGGACCAGGGAATGAATATAGCAATCAATGGTTGTAGCTGCAGTGCCGGATGGGAGGCGGCCGGGCGTGCAGGGGCCGCGCTCAGCCCGAGCTCCTTTCTGCGCTTTTGGGGCAGAAGGGCGGGAGGTGTGGTGGTTTTTGCGACGCGAAGGAGCGAGTGTCGTTTGGGAAGGTCGGCAAGCTTTGGGCTGACGCAGTGTAGGAAAGGGGCGAGACCTCCCCGCGCGACAAAGACGCGGCGTGAGGGAACGCGTGGAGGCGTCCCGCCCGTCCCCGCTCGCGGCCCGAGCCACGCCGCCCGTCTGTTCCTCCCCAGCGCCCGAACTGCAGCCGCCCAGCCCGCGCTTTGCCACCGGCTGCTTTCCAGCAATGAAAAGCGGCGGGGGGGGAAGGAAGGAAAAGGGCCGCGCGGCGGGGAGCTGAGCGGCCGCGCGGGTCCGGGCGCTCCCGCGGGGCGGGGGCGCGCGCCGAAGCCCGCCCCTCGCGGGCCGTCCTCGGGCGGCTCGAGCGGTCGGGCGGAGGCGCCTCGGCGCGGCGGCGCTGGCGATTGGTCAGGGCGAGATTCGCCCCGCCATTGGGTGCGCGTGCCCCGCCGGGTGCCTCGGCCTATCAGGAGCCGCGGACCGCGCAAAGGGAAGGGATATAAGGGCGGGCCTCAGGGCGCGGGCCTGGCACCGGCCTGTCCGCGGAGCTGCGGGAGTTGGGCGGCGAGCGCGGGTGAGGTAGAGGCGCATCGAGGGAGCGAGCGAGGATGTCCGGCCGCGGGAAGCAGGGCGGGAAGGCGCGTGCCAAGGCGAAGTCGCGCTCGTCGCGGGCCGGGCTGCAGTTCCCCGTGGGCCGCGTCCACCGGCTGCTTCGGAAAGGGAACTACGCGGAGCGGGTGGGCGCCGGCGCGCCGGTGTACCTGGCGGCCGTGCTGGAGTACCTGACGGCCGAGATCCTGGAGCTGGCGGGCAACGCGGCCCGCGACAACAAGAAGACGCGCATCATCCCCCGGCACCTGCAGCTGGCCATCCGCAACGACGAGGAGCTCAACAAGCTGCTGGGCAAGGTGACCATCGCGCAGGGCGGGGTGCTGCCCAACATCCAGGCCGTGCTGCTGCCCAAGAAGACGGAGAGCCACAAAGCCAAGAGCAAGTAGACCGCGCCCGGGGAAGCGTCCCGAGCCCAGAAGCGAAACCCAAAGGCTCTTTTCAGAGCCACCCACGGCCCCGAGAAGGAGCTGGAGCCGCTTCCGAGCGGGTGGACGGGCGGCAGGGGAGGGAGCGGGGCGCGCGCGTTTCCGAAGGGAGCGCTGGCTCTCCAGTGGCACGAGTGTGCGGGAGTTTTGGGGGTGGGTGTTTCTCCCGCCCTGCGGCCGCACCCGGCGCGGTTACGCCCCAGAGCCCGGGCGCGGCGGGGAAGCCTGCGCGTCGCTCATGGGCCCCTCACCTCCGCCGTGCCCGGCGGCTGGAAAATCGCGCCGCTCTCCCGGTCGGGTAGCGCTCGGCGCCGGGGCTGTGCTGCGGCGAGTGCCCGGCTTTTCGAGACATCGAGGGCGCTTAACGCGCTCGCCGCCGGTCACGGATCCCCGCCCACGGAGGCCGCCGCCCCCCGCCCCAGCGCAGAGGCCCCTTCCACGCCCCGCTGGCCCCAGCGAACCCGGTGCAGCGCCCGCAGCTTCCCCCTTCGGGCGCGAGGGAACGGAGGGTCCGCCGCCCCGCAGTCGGGAACGGGGCGAGACAGCCACGGTTCGCCCTTTCCTTTTACTACTGGGTCAGGGCGGCCGGTCCCTTGGCCCGTGTTTTGCCCAAGGCGAGTCGCTGAAGGGGCACGAGGCCCCTCCCGTTCGCGCCCCGGCAGGTTCCGGGGCTGCCCGGGAGCGCTAAGCGCCTCGGGGAGAGAGGCACGAACGGGCGGGCGCGCCGCTCGCTTTGAGGGGCGGAGCGGACCAGGCGGCTGCTCCGAAAGCAGTTGCCGGCAAGGGGAGAGGCGGCAAAAGGGCTCGGCAAGGAGGACGATGCGGCTGCAGGGGGCCAGAGGGGGACTCGGAGCCGAACCGCAAGCGGCCCTTTCGGCCGCAGCTCGGCAACATGAGGCGTGGGTGGGCATAAGGAGGGAGCGGGAGAGCGGGAGACAAGAGCACCAGCGGGCCAAAAACTAGGCCGAATAGCGTGAGGCGACACAGCTCTTCCAAAGAACAAAGTGGGTGGCTCTTAAAAGAGCCTTTGGGTTTTCGAGATGGTGCGGGAGCAAAACGCTTCAGCCGCCGAAGCCGTAGAGGGTGCGTCCCTGGCGCTTGAGCGCGTACACCACGTCCATGGCCGTCACCGTCTTCCTCTTGGCGTGCTCCGTGTAGGTCACGGCGTCGCGGATCACGTTCTCCAGGAACACCTTCAGCACGCCGCGCGTCTCCTCGTAGATCAGCCCCGAGATGCGCTTCACGCCGCCGCGCCGAGCCAGGCGCCGGATGGCCGGCTTGGTGATGCCCTGGATGTTGTCGCGCAGCACCTTGCGGTGCCGCTTGGCGCCCCCCTTGCCGAGCCCCTTCCCGCCTTTGCCGCGTCCAGACATGGTGACACTGCTGCTGCTGCCGCTACCGCTGCTGCCCCAGAGAAATAAGCCAGCACGGCCCGCGCCGCGGCCTTTATACCGGTTGGTCCGACCTGATTGGGAGCAGGGACGGGCACGGCCGGGGGCGGGGCCTTCGCCCTTCGCCGCTCCCGGGCCCCTCCCGGGACCCCGCCCCCGCCTCGCTCACCCTCCCCCCGCCCCGGGGCCGCCGAGGCGCCGCTTCCCGGCACCTTCGGCTCCGGGAGCGGCGGCGGGGCGCGCGCTGCCTTCTCTGCCAGGGGCTGAGCGCGTCGCCGCGCCCGACTCGCTGTCAGGGCGGCGTGGCCCCGTCTCAAGGGCCTCGCTGGGTCGCTGCACAGAGCGCCCGGGCGCCGGGAGTCAGTCGGTGGTTTTGCTGCTCCCGGGGACCTTTCGAGCTTGTTGGCCCATAGCTTGCCCGGGACAGTGATGGCAAAAACGGTTGCGGGCCGCTTTCCTGGACTTCGCCGGTCTTATTCTCTCCTGTCATGTGCTGGGCATCATTTCATTTTCTTCAAATATTTCATTAGTTTTACGACAAGATGACATCTGTGTTAGGATCATCTCTTGGACTTTCAATAGTAGTTGCTCTTTTTCACGGCGTTATCATGAGCATTTAGAATATGGCTGTTTTGCTGCACATGCAACTCAACTTATTCATCTTTCACATGTCAACAGTTCTGTGTTAATTTTCCTATTTCTCACAAAAACTAATTATTGTCAAGAAGGGGTGTAAATCTTATCAGTTTGGGTTTGGTTTGGTTTCCTTTGTGCATAGGACTAAATCCTTGAACTCCCGATCTCTAGTTCTTTTGACATTGTGTACTGTATAAAGGGAATGAGCATGGTAGTACATTCTAAAGTATGTGAAGCAGGTAGATTTTACAGTAGTTATGGTGGTCAGAAACTATATATCAAGTTTAGTTTACTTTCTTCCACTTGCCTTTTTTACATATGTTTTTGGAACCTACATATGCCCCGAAGTTTTTTCAATAGCATTCCATGTGAAAAGAAATATATATTGCCTACTATATACCTAAGGATTGTTAATAATTTATAATGCAGTAGGCCAACTACAGCAAATATGGTAGTAAGTGTTCCTTAAAATTCTGGAAGCACTTATCATTTTTAATATCTGTTTGTTCTCCTTTCAGGTTATGCCCACTTAAACTGTTCTTATAACTTTCTTCTTAGCTTCTTGAATCATCATCTCAGAGACCACAGTTTGTGGGTTTGTTGTTTGTTGTTCGGAAAATCAGAACAAAAATACTTTCATATGCAGATGAAATTCTGATTTATATGTTCCAAACACAAAGGTCACCTCTGCATATTTCATCAGTAAGGACCAGTGTTGAAGATCTGAAATATGAGCATGTCTGCTGTACACTGAATTTCAAAATTACTCCCAATTGCAGCAAACAGTAGTAATCACTTTGAATGGGCTGCCCTGGCCTTTCCTCCTGGATATGCCAAGAAATGCTCTCAAATATGTGGATCCTTAGAAAGCAATGCTTCACGCACATCTTATTTGACACTTTTCTGAATTGCATTTTCTGAATTACATTTCTAATCAGTTATGACTCTTATGATTATCTTCCCCCTCTCTCTCTGTACTTCAGTACATGCTGAAGAATTCACCTGATAATCTCTTTAAGTGTGAAAGGCTTAAAATCTTCACAAATAAATCAAAGCAGCAGTGTTTATGCTACTGGGACACAGTGTCCCCTGAATTTTTGGAGTTTTCTCAGGAATTCCAAGCACTAAAAACTGTGTGGAAGCTCTCTTGACAGCTTTGCCTCGTTCTACTCTCAGTTTGCAGCCATTAAGTTACAGGTAAATAGTTCTCTTGTGTTAGGTTCATCATCATGGTAGGTTCATCATCGTGGTATTAAAGGACAAGAGAAGCTTCCAGAATTAAAGGACTGATGTAAGTCAGCAGAAGAGGCAATCAACATTTTTTGTTAGCAAAATAGAAAGTGAAACAAAAAAATAAATCCTTATATATTCACATGTTACAAATTTTTCTTTGCTTATTATTTTAATTTTTGTTAATGTTACAACTACAGCATTGATTTAGCAGGCTGTGAAGCAGGAAGAGAGACATTCCTTTCAGTGTGTACGTATCTAGGGGCTGGTCTAAAGTAGCCCCCAGAGTTTGAGCTGTTACACAGTGTGGTGGTTTAGGCCTGATTGGCAGCCAACCACAATGCAGCAGCTCTCTCTCCCTTCCCCTCCGGCAATGAGAAGGGACAGAGAGCCAGGCTTGGGGTTCAAGATAGGACTGGGATGGGGGAAAATCCCCCTTTTATGATCACGAGCAACAGGCAGATTCATTAGGGGAAGGAAAAAAAAGAACATACATTTATTACAGACACTAACAACACATAACAGAGTAGGACAGTGAGAAGCATTGCCACATCTTGAGAACACCTTCCCCCCACCCCTCCCTTCTTCCCGGGCTCAGCTCTGCTCCCGATATCTCTACCTCCTCCCCCAGTGGCGCAGGGGCAGGGAATGGGGGCTGCAGTCAGTGCTGCCACTTCCTTCATCTTCGGTGAGGGGAGTGTCCGGAACTTGTTCCTCCTGCTCCATCGTGGTTCCCCTCTCACAGGAGACAGTCCTCCACAAACTTTCTCCAACTTGAATTCCTCCCATGGGCCGCAGCGTTCCCCACACTGATCTGTCATGGGTCACTAAATTCCTCTGACTGGATTCTCTCCCACGGCTGCAGCCCTTCCCGAGCTGCTCCGGTGTGGGACTCCCCCACATGCTGCAATCCTCCCAGCACTGAATTACAGCAGCGGGGCTACCTTTTCCCACGAGACCCCGGCCTTCTTCGGGCACAGAACCTTGATCAGGCAAGCAGGAGCAACAGGCCATAAATCAATGTCTGCTCCACCGTAGATGTTCATGGGTGGCAAGGGGGGCGCCCTGCCGTCTCACCACAGGATACAGGGGGGTCTCTGCTCTGGCACACCTCCCCCCTCCTTTCTTCCTCCGTTCCTCCACTGACCTTGGTGTTCATGCAGCTGCAGCAACTCCTCCTCACAAGTCCGCCTGCCTGTCACCACGTCCCTTCTTAAATACGTTATCGCAGAGGCGCAGCTGATTGGCTCAATTTCCCAAACAGAAGTGGAGCTGACGTGGAGCTGGGGGAGCTTTGAGAAACTTCTCACAGGGGGCCGCCCCGATAGCCCCCTCCCCTGCCACCAAAAAACTCCACCACTCACTCAACCCAGGACACACAGTAATCCCGGTTGGGCTAACAAGTATCAGTGGAGTTGGGGAACTCCCAGTGCTGCTTCTGACACATGGAGGAAAAGAAAAAAAAAAAAAAAAAAGAAAATCCAAGTGCATTAGGAGTTTCTCAAACATCCCTGACTTCCCTCATTTCTTTACCAAAACTTTATCTGTCTGTGACATATCTGGAGTTTCCAAGGGGCAGTAACTGCCAGTTGCTTGTGAGCCAGAAGGCCCCATTCACATCCCAACCCTCTAATTCTGGAAGGAGCTCTAATATGAATTTTAGAAAAATTCTGTAGGCCACATCATTCTTCAATCAGCTTTGGGAATTTGTGACCTGTAAAATGATTATTTCTAGCCCATTGTTACTATTACTAGATAGACATACTGTCGACTAAGTGTAAATTCTTCTTTCTTATAATCATCCTTGTGTCACTGAGCCAGATCCGGCAGCAGTCATTAGGTCTAATGCTGTGTCAGAAACTGCTCTTTCTCCTCATGAGAGAACAGAGAAAACAAACAAACAAACAAACAAACAAGCCAACCAACCAACCAAACAAAACATACTCCAGTCCATTGGAACTTCTGCATGCTGAGTAGTGGCATTTCCATCCTCTCAAGAGTGATAGTGGACAGAGGTTGGAAGATAGAGAAGTAGCTTTCATCTGTATTCGAATGGTGTTTCTGTGATTTGAGAAATGGTTCAATTTCCTAATAACAAGGCACATTCTGTTGTATGAAATAGAAAATACAATTTTGAGATGTCTTTCAAAGGTGGAATACAGACCCTTTCAAACATTTTGTAGTTCATATCCCACCATGAGCCACATCTTATATCCAAAAATTTGTCAGAAGAATAAGATTGCCCTACAACCCAGACAAGAACCTCACCATTGTTGAAGTCACAATTCACATTGAAGAAATTGGCTGCTGTTCGTTTGTGCATGGTGGGAATGAAAATACTGCATTGACATTTGTTACAGGGAATTTTCCATTTCCTAGTAATTCAAGAAAATATTTGTCAGTAGGCACAGAAGAAAACAATAGGAGCCTATGACCCTTTTAAGCAGAAAGAAGCAGAGATTCATGATTTACTGAACACTAGGACACCTGTGCTTGACATCAACTTTGAAAGAAGGCATTGTAACACAGGCAACAATCATTTGGTATAACCTACTCCATTCTTCCTTGGCAAAGGAGCAAAGGTAGATGTCTGGTTTCAGTAAGCAGTCTTCATAAAGTTGAACTGATCCAAAGCAAGTGTGGGGTGTTAATGCAGAACCTAAACCCATCACATTCTCCTGTCAATTATTCTTTTTTTTTTTGTTGTTTGTTTGTTTGTTTTCTAGCCACCCCTTAAAAAAATTCAGGGTAGAATCTCTCTATGGGCCTGTGTTAATTCATAAAAGTGTTTATTTCCTGGAAGGAAAATAACATTTTAGTAAAATATTTTAGTATTTTTGTTGACACATGCTGATTCTAAAAATTGAAGGAAAGGTGGACGGAGTGATGATACCAAAAGACAACTTCTGCCTGAAGGAATAATAGAATATCAAAGCCTGGGGAAGCTTTCCTGTTGTAATTCTGTAACTACACCAAGTTCCTGTGGTGGACACATGCTCTCTGTCTTGGTTTACATTCTACAGTGGCTGAAATTTTAAATTTTATTCTGCAGTGGCTGAGAAATTAAAATCCACTTCGTGAATTACAGTACAAATACCTGGATATTTCTAGGATATTATGCTTGAATATCCAAAAGCAAAATGTAACTCCATAAAAGAACCAGAGGGAGGCAAATGATCTGCAAATTGCTTCAACACTCATGTTTGTCCTTCCTGTCTTCTGGTTTATGCCCACCTTTGATTTGACCTACATCGAAGGGGAACTCATAATGTTTTTTTCCCATGAGAACCCACAGCCTGATACTGCCAATCTGCTTGTCTTGGTCACAAATCTCTCCATAGTGGGAGGAGATAATCTCTGATGTACAGAAATACATTTTACGTTTAGCAATGGCTGTCTTGAGAGATGAGAATCAGATCTCTAAACACTTTCCAGTTTCCAAATAAGTCAAGAAACAATGATGACAATGAAAGCAAAAAAAAAAAAAAAAAAAAAAAAAAAAAAAAGTTTTGTTTCTACTTCCAGGAATCTTGGAGTCCATTTCTGCCTTCAAGAATTCGGAAGAAGTAAAATGATGACTAGGAATTTTTAAAAGTTGGTAAGAATGACAATGTTCCTTGTTGTACGAGTTGAAAAAATTGACAGAAGCTGATCATTAAATGTGAACAGCTTGAAACAAATAAATCACTTCTCTACAGATATCAGTAGACTAGAGAGTTACCACCTGTTAGCTCCACTGCCTCTGGGAGGACTTGAAATCTCCGTTCTTTATTACCATGGGGTAACTACTACTAGTATAGAAAAAAGATTTTCCTCAGAGTGTCAGCCGTTCTGATACAGTGTTCAGTCATGTCACTGAGGACCTTAATCCTCCCCCATTGTAGGAAATAACCATCAGATAAAATGGGCATTAAAATTAGTTTATTATGTCTCTGTTTAATCAATACACAACGTGCAGTTCTGGTCTTACACTTTGCAGCTTTGCCATGATCGTTATCACAGTCTGATCACCCAAAACATGGATTTACCTTCCTCTCACAGGCTAAAATGCATTCGCTGGGAATCGTCACAAAGCTCTATTTCTTCCCACATTTCGCCTCCAAGCTGAGAAAAAAACAAAAACAAAAACAAAAACAAAAACAAAAACAAAAACAAAAACAAAACCACGGTACGTTAAATTACTAGAGTTATTCTAGTCCTTGCTTTGATTTTAGCACTTTAGCGTTTTCAGTTAACCACGTGTAATTAGAAAAGAATATGACATTTCTCGAATGTCACATGGAGATTCAAGTCAGTACTTTCATAGTCCCAGGCAGAGGGAACTCTGCGTTGTATCGTCACTTCATTCACCCTGTGCCACTTTCTTTTAGCCCAGACTAGAGATGCTCACTCCTTTTAGGAGCTGATGGTAGCCTGGCATCTAGTGTATGAAGCACAACATTATTGCAGGCAGACTTTTAACTGTTTCATATTAAAAGGAAAGCAACATGACATTGAAAAAGAAGGATGAAATTGAGAATTCATCCATTGTTTGGAATACGGAGCTACCAGTGACCCATGGAAGGAACCTTCTTGAAAAGGTGTAAATTCTTATCTGTCTTCTGAAAGGAGCAAAGTGGTAGATCACCAGATGCTGTTACCAAAGGAAAACACTTAGAGCATCAACATTCATTCATTAGAACAGAGGAAGGAGTTTTGCATAACAATGTGTCCTGATTACCGAACATACGCACAAAGGACCGAATTTTCAGCTTTAACACCCCATCCAGTTCAAATTTCATTACACAGCAGATTATATTTCCCAATCAATTTTAACAAACCGCGATGCAAAGACAAGTACTTTTTAAATGCGTCTTAAGACTGAACCCCGATGTATTGCAATTGCAACGATCCTGACTCCTGAACTGAATAAACGAAAGCGACTTCGTCAAGGCTACATTGGAAGCGCAGCGACAGGCACATCAGCCTTCAGAGGGGCTCATCGGTGCTTTGTCCCCCTGAAATAACTCAGCAAAAGGAACGGAACGCCGGCTTTCACTCACGCTGCTAAAACACGAAGGGCTCCCCCGAAGGCGGTAGCTAAGACGTCGTGGTCGCTGAAGGGATGTTCAGGGGGATTGTGCGATTTCTGAGGGAAGCGGCTCGGCCGAGGGAACCGGCTCTGCATCCGCGTCCGGCATCCCGGGGCGAAGCTGTGTTACTTCCTCGGTTTTAATCTCAATTTACCCTCCGACCAACCCTTCAAACCACTCTGGTTTTAACCCTACGCCGGAGAGGACCTTCTAAAGCACAAGATTTCACGCTGCCCGTGCCCATTTAGCCGATGGCATCATTTTAATTTAAAAGATAAAACCTAAGTTACCCTCTCCCGAGGTCTCTGCGGCTCCACGCCGCGGAGTTTCTGGGGTCGCTTTTCCCTCGTTTCTAGTCCTTCCAAGGGGAAAATCCGTTCACTGGCAGGACAGACCCCCCCCTCCCCGCACAGGAAGAAGTGGGGTGCGCCGGCAGTCAATTTCGGGAGGAAAAAGCCCTTTTTGGAGCTGAAAGAAACACAACGGGCGCGGCGGCGGGCGGCGGGGCGGGGGCGGGGCGAGCCAATCAGAGCGCGCGGCGCCGCTATAAAAGGGGGCGGCGGCGGCAGCGCCGCTATTGTTCGCGCCGACTCCGCTGGTGGCGCCATGTCCGAGACCGCCCCCGCCGCCGCCCCCGACGTCGCTGCCGCGGCCGCCGCCACGGCCCCCGCCGCCAAGGCCGGGGCCGCCAAGAAGCCGAAGAAGGCGGCGGGCGGCTCCCGAGCCCGCAAGCCCGCGGGGCCCAGCGTCACCGAGCTGATCACCAAGGCCGTGTCCGCCTCCAAGGAGCGCAAGGGGCTCTCCCTCGCCGCCCTCAAGAAGGCGCTGGCCGCCGGCGGCTACGACGTGGAGAAGAGCAACAGCCGCATCAAGCTGGGGCTCAAGAGCCTCGTCAGCAAGGGCACCCTGGTGCAGACCAAGGGCACCGGCGCCTCCGGCTCTTTCCGCCTCAGCAAGAAGCCCGGGGAAGTGAAGGAGAAAGCCCCCAAGAAGCGGGCGGCTGCGGCCAAGCCCAAGAAGCCGGCGACCAAGAAGCCCGCCAGCGCCGCCAAGAAGCCCAAGAAGGCGGCGGCGGTGAAGAAGAGCCCCAAGAAAGCCAAGAAGCCGGCGGCTGCCGCGGCCAAGAAGGCGGCCAAGAGCCCCAAGAAAGCAACAAAGTCTGCAAAGCCCAAAAAAGCGGCGGCGGCAGCAAAGAGCCCGGCCAAGGCGAAAGCAGTGAAGCCCAAAGCAGCCAAGCCCAAGATGGCCAAGCCCAAAGCGGCCAAGGCAAAAAAGGCGACCCCCAAGAAAAAATAAGTGGTCTTGAAAAAAAATCCTGTCTGCCTTATAGACAAACCCAACGGCTCTTTTAAGAGCCACCCAAGCTTTCACAAAAAGAGCTGAACCACTTTTTTTAATGTCTCCATTGTGTGTGTATAATCTGAATTTGCGTTATTTCGTTACTGCTCTTGCTTAATTAAGCTCGATCCGTTAACAGCACAAAGTTCCGCGCTTTTGTTCTCCGCGGGTGCAGGGCAGCCCTGCAGCGCCGGTCCCCGCGGAACAGCTCGTCGCAGCCCACGCTTCCCGTTAGCCGCAGCGAAATCGGTGCGAGCCCCAAGTCCCTGCGAAAGCTGGGCAGCGCTGAGGGCACTCCGACGGGGGGTGGGGAGGGGTGTGAGGTGTGTTGTTTTGGGGTGCTGTGGCTCCCCGCAGCTTCTCTCCCATCAGCCGTGGGACGAAGAGCCGCGCTCACGGCCCCCGGAGCTCAATCGGTTTCGAAAAGCCCGCGCTGCGCAGAGATTGGCCGCGACTCTCAGGCTTATCTGGTTAAACAGCAGTTTTCGGGTTAAACAGACGCTCCACTTTTTTTTTTTTTTTTTTTTTTTTTTTTTTTTTTTCTTACCCCGGCGGAAGAGACTTGTGAACTTCCTGGGTACGTGGTCTCCTCCCTTCCGAAGGGCTTTTTCACTCCCAGTCCAATCTGTCACCTATAAACTCGTCCCTTCCCTGGAGAAATCGTAGCCGAGAGGCTCGGTTGCTCCGGGCTGCCTTCCGAGCAGCTCTCTCCACTTCGGTGCTGAACCTTTCGCTCCTTGGAACTGCCGGGCTCGGTTCTTCGCCGGCTGCCGGGGGCTCATTTGGGCAACGGAGATGCTCGGGGGCGGCCCTGGACGCGGTAGGAACCCGCGAGGGTCGGAGCTTCCCGCGTGTCCCCCCAACCTCCCGCCTGCCACCCCCCCTCCCCAAACCCTGCGGCCACCTCCTTTCCCCGGCGAAGCAGAAGGGGAGAAGTGGCGGGGGAAGAGGCAGTTTCCTCGCTTTTAGTCACAGTGCTGGTGCTACCGCTTCCCCAGCGGGCGGGAGAACCGGGAGAACGGGGAATTTTCGTGGAATTCCCTCCTTAGCTCTCAACAAAGGATGGCTGATCTCAAGTCTGTAGCTGTTAACCTGTTATATCTGAAGGGTTTACCCGGAAACGGGATTGCTGCAGTTTGGAGAAATGGTGGAATTGGATTCCACCAGTATTCATGTTTTTGCAAAGAAATACAAAACAGAGCCTCTATATTTTAAGCTCTCTTCCTGAAATGTTGTTCTTGCTCTTCCTCTGCATTGCCCCTTAGGTAGCATCTGACTTTTCAGTACTTGCTTGTATTTATGACCTCTTCCTCTATAGAACGTACAAACCTGTATATATATCCAACTATTTTTCTGAAATCATTGGGCCGTGTCCCTTCACCCTGACAGCCCAAATTCCTGAGCTCACGTGCCTGTGCCCCTGTTTGGAACGGGGATGTGCCTACCAGACTCTCACAGTTAACGTAAGGGAAGGGTGTTGAGAGTCAGACCCACTAATTCTCAAAGGTTTTCACCCAACTAGGTGCACTAATCGCAGGAGAGTGGGTCAACCGAGATTCTCCAGCCCACTACAACTAGTCAGAGGGGAGTAGATTTTGACTGGATGGATATGGTCAAACAGCAGGTATGCTGCTGTAGCAAACATTATATTCATGCTTAATTTATTTCTTTACAGCTGAGCCAAAAAAGGCAAAACCCAGTTACAGTAACATGGACAAAACTGTATGATGCACATCCCTGCTAATTGAATTGACCTTGTCAGGACAGCCTTGGAATAAACAGTGCCTGGAATGAGTCAGGGTAATGACAGCAGTTCATTCTTGGCCTGTTGCAATTTATTCTCCCTGTTTACATGGGAGAGGCATCAGGGTGCTTCTTTCCCTTTTCTGAGAGGTAAGAGGAAAAACTCAAATTATTATAACTGTTTTTTTAAGAGAGTTCAGTTGAGTCAGTTACCCACCTCAGATGTTTCAGTAGCTGAGATTTGGAAAATTAGCACACTTCTGAACACAAGTACAGGTGATAAGCAATTTTATTGTGCATCACTTGTTTTGTGTATTTAGTAGTATTATTATTAATATTACTACTAATGTCAATATTACAATAAATGGTATAATTATTAAAAATATAATGCATTAATATTATAATAGTAATTCACCTTTCTTTTCAGTCCTATTAAAATGTCTTTATCTCAACTCATGAGTTTTACTTTTTTTTTTTTTCTGATTCTCTCCCCTATCCCACCAGGGAGGTTGGAGTGAGTGAGTAGCTGTGTGGGGCTCAGTTGCCAGCTGGAGCTAAGCCATGAAAATTGATACCCCAAAATAAGATTCCAACAAGACATTTGTATTATATGATGGGACATCCTGTGGCCATGGAACATCTATTTATTGAACTTTTTATATAGGCTATGTCATGTCTCTAGCCTGTTCCATATTTGCAAAGTGCTCAGATTAATGCATATTCTGAGATGTATAGTAGGTTTCTTAGATTTCTACAATGCCTTTCCTGCACGGACATTTCACCACACTACAGACTCTAAGAAACGTGAATACCACTGCCTGGAACATGAGTAATATGGCAAGAAGAGCTTTAGGTACTGAGGCACCAACCACATTCTATCTTTGGGAATAGTTCTGATCTGGGAACTGGATTGGAATCAGATTAATGAGTGATTCTGTGCAACTATTTGACATGGAGAACTGAACTGCTGGTGGCCAAAGAGGAGGTGTCAGAAAAAGGCCAGTGCTTAGCCAGTGGACATACTAAGACAGAAAACCCAAGTATCCACTTTTTTTATTTTAAATGCTGACTAAGCTGCTCAAAAATTAGGAAGAAGGTCAAAAAATGGATTCAGAATTGCAAATTATTACAAGGAAAAGATCTAGTTTCATTTATTTTCTCTTCCATGGAGTCAACTTTTTATTTCACAGATTTACCTATTAAGTAAATGATGATATCAAAAGTCTGTGATGTTCTAGCACTGGAGGTAGAAATGACAACAGAAAATAATGTCAAAAGAATGCATGAGTTAAAGTTCTCCATATAGAAGCACAGACTCTCAGCAGCCTGGCAATAATTCTGCTGAAGTCAAGTTGCTTCCTCACAGAATAAGAAATCACTTTGTACTGATGGACACTTCTGTCTTGTGGGGCGGCAGACTTTTTGATTTGCATTAGTCACCACAAAACCTGGTAATTTCTGTACATTTATTTCTTTATCTATCTGTTCTCTGTCAGTGGGTTCTGTTACTTCTGTGCTTTTTGTATATCTCTGACTCTTACTGTAATTGTCATGTGAGAGTAAGAGAATATTTGGCATACCGTCAGCATGTCATTGAAAAACAATAAAAATGTCTTTCTTAGAGATTCACTTTTGAAAAAATCAAAGCTGGAGTTTTATTTCAATTTTAAATATTCCAATACTAGCATCAAAAATCTCTATTTGTTAGAGAAAATTGAAAGCTAGTTTTCAGTAAAAAAGCTCAATAACATTAGTTCAGGCACAAAGATGTTTAAAATAGGGATATGCTGCTGTTGCACATCCTCAGTAGTTCCGAGGACCCTAAGCTAAATAAAGCAGAGAAAAAAGCCCTCCATAGTATCCTGGGCTGGATAAATGGAGATATGTAAATACATACATTTCAAGAATATGTTTACAGGTTCTCAAAAGGAACGAGCTGAGTGGGGAGATAACAATAGTGTATGGGCAGGAAGTTGGGGACAGACAGTGTGGAGTCCCCAAAAGTGAGAGTGTGATACGAATATCACTATTACCAGACCTGTTCTCTGCTGCTCACATGGCAATACAGATTTGGGCCAGCTTGAGTTCAGGTACGGAACCACTTTTCACCTACACACCTTTGTCTCAGCAAGATTACACAATAGCGTTTTTCTGCTACGAGTTTCTTTTTTACTACCTAGATGACAATTCACCAGTGCAGTGCTGGGCAGTGGGGGATACCAGCCACAATTCGCTGTGGGGATTTGAGACCCCTCTTCAGAACATGTTGTCAAAGCACAGCAAAGTCATCAGTGTGACTCCTCCCAGGATACTCGTTCATTCTCCATACTCAATTTTGGACAACTCTTTCTAGACTTGGAGTTGTGTTTTATTCTGCTTTTCTCTTTTCAGATTGTTTTTTGTGATCTCTTTGCACTTCCATTCCATGTGAGTTTTGTTCATCACTCATGCAGGTCTTCTGCTGGGACATCAGTGAAACTCCAGTGCTTGGTTTTCCCAAGAACTGCAGGGTTTTCTTTTCAAGGACTTCAGGACTAGGCTGCCAGGAGCTGTGGAAAAATAATAAAATGTAGAAAAATAGTAGTAGGATTATTGTTCTCATCGAACACTGAAAACAATAAAATTAATCAAAGCATAGGTAAGGACATGCACTAGACATAAAAAAAGAATTCCTGTTCTTTCAGCAACCAGTGTATGCTGGCAGTGTTCAACCAAGTCAACCAAGGCTGCATATACTGGATCTGCACAGTGCATATTCCTTCCCTCTCAGTTGTGTGTAACTGCCCTAGTGAAAATGTACATTGCCATTGCCACTGCAGTGGTTTGCCACTTCTTCCCTGCTTCTCTGGTTTCTCCACCATAGATTTATTGTCTTTGTAAAAGAACTCTGTGCCCGTTCCCTGATTGCCTGCCTTTGGCCATTTGGTTCTTAACTCCTTCAATATTTTTTTCCTTCTGTCAGAGAGAGCACATTACTATCACTAGCATCTCCTACCAGGATCAGATCTAGTGAGTTTGTGCACTCCTGAGGCAGGATACTTCTTTCATTAAAAGGGGGTATGTTTCAGACATATTTCATCTTCTCCACTGTCAAAGAAAAGCTAAATATTCCATGTGACAACTATCTCAAAAATCCTAGTTTCCTGGGCAGGAAAAGCAAGCTACACAAGGACAGTAAAGATTCTTTTTTTTTTTTTTTTTTTTTTTTTTTTTTTCTTTCAAAAAAAGGAAGATTAAAGAAAATATGCCCTCCCCACCCCTGGATGACAGGAGAACTAGTGACAACTGACAGGGAATAAGCTGAGGTACTCAACAATTTTTTGGCTTCAGTTTTCACTGGTAAACTCTCTTGCCACATCTCTGAAGTCCCTGAGCCTCAAGGCAGGGACTGGGGGAATGAAGTCTCTCCCATCGTAGAAGATCAGGTTCAAGATCATTTGAGAAGAACATGAACAAGTCTGTGGGGCCTGATGAGATGCATCCCAGGGTCCTGAGGGAATTGGAAGATGTAGATGCTAAGCCACTCTTCATCATATTTGAAGAGTCATTACAACCAGGTGAAGTTCGGAGAGACTGGGGAAAATGGAGTACCACAGTCATTTTTAAAAAGGATAATAAAGAGGACCCTGGGATGTACAGACCAGTAAGTCTCACCTCAGTGCCCGGTAGGATCATGGAACTGATGTCAAAATGTATGGAAGACATAGAAGTCATTAGAGACAGCAAACATGGCTTCACCAAGGGCAAATCACAACTGACTGATCTAGTGGCCTCCTATAATGGAGTGACTGCATCAGTGAATAAGGGAAGAGCAACTAATGTCATCTACCTAGACTTCTGTAAGACCTTTGAAATGGTTCCCCACAATGTTCCTACCTCTAAATTCGACGACTATGGATTTGATGAATTGTTAAACGGATAAGGAACTGTCTGGATGGCTGTTTCCAAAAAGTTACAGCCAACGGCTCAATGTCTAAATGGAAACCAGTAACGAGCAGTGTCCCTCAGGGGTCTATACTGAGTTGAATACTGGTTTATATCTTCATCAGTGACACAGATAGTGGAATGGAATGAATCCTCAGCAAGTCTATGTATGACATCAAGCCAAGTGGTGCAGCTGATTCACGAGGAGGGGATGTCATCCAGAGGGACCTTGACAGGCTTGAGGGGCAGGCCCATGTGAACCTCATGAAGGGACAGAAAACAGTCACAGGGCTGGAACACCTCCCTCGTGAAGAAAGGCTGAGAGAGTTAAGGGTTTTCTGCCTGGAGAAGAGAAGGCTGTGGCGAGGCCTAACCATGGCCTTTCAGTATATGAAGGAAGCTTATAAGAAAGACGGAGAAAGACTTTTCAGAAGGGCCTGTAGTGACAGGACAAGAGACAGTGGTTTTAAACTGAAAGAGGGTAGATTTAGATTGCATATAAGGAAGACATTTTTTTATTATGAAAGTGGTGGGACACTGGATCAGGTAGTCAAGAGAAGTTGTGGATGACCCCTCCCTGGAAATGTTCAAAGTCAGGTTGGATGGGGCTTTCACTTGATATAGTGAAAGATGTCCCTACCCACAGCACAGGGGTCATTTTACATGATCTTTGAACATCCCTTCCAATGCAAATGATTCTATGAATCTTAGGAACTTTCCAGAAGATGTTACATTTTTATCTCAAGTTACCATTACAGTTTAATTTTATCAGACAGATCTAGTAGACTAGATGAAATGTAATGTATAATTTGGAATCACCTGGGAGGGAAGAAAAGTAGCTGAGCTCCAACCCTGCTTCACTTTATTAGATGAACTTCTGTCATGAGTCCTATGAAAAAATATGTATCTACTTATTTTTAAAAAATCAATTTCTGAACAGGTTCTGCATTTTGCCAAGAAGAGCATGGAGACAAATGGACAGACAGCAAGAGACTGGGGGAATTACTATACGTAGTCACAGATTCCTGGGTAGAAGCATCTCATTATGGAGCAGGGTTATTTATAGTATGAAGCTCTAACTTATTTTTATCCCATGAAGAAAAGCAGAAACAAAACCTCAGCTTTGCAGAGCTCGATGTCTCAGCAGGGACTGCATGGGGAGATGATTTGGTGAAGCCCAGGACTGTCCAGGAACCTCATGGCAGGGGTCTGCGAGTGGTAATAGCTCCCAGGGCAGGGCCGTGATATAGTCAGATTCACAAGTATTGAACAGACCAGATTTTCATGGCAGAGTAGGTTCAGGAAGCTCTACAGCAGGTAGTGATAATCTACTCTGTTAGTAACACCCTGAGGACTTGCCTGTGTACTCAAAGAGTGATAAAGCCTGCAGTAAATGTTACACCAAGCGTCTTTCCCCACAGGTGCACAACACAGCTACCTTATTCTCAAAATCTCCTGGGAATGACAGAAGGCCTGACTACAGAGAGCCCAGTTTCTCATGGTAGCTCGGTCTCCCACATCAGTCCAGTCATGGTCCCTGAACTTCCCTCCCTGGAAGGGGCAAACTGGTGTTAGAAAAAGGCAACACCATGAAGTTAGCTGTGTCATCCCCACTGTACTCCAGAATTATCTCCATAACCCAACCTAGGATGCTGTCAATTTCCTCATGGAACAGGACATTTGTTGCTAGTTTGAGCCTTTAGGATGTCTCCTTCAGAGTCTTGGTGTTTGTCTTGCCCCATTTGGGTTTCATTTTGGCCTATGCTGAAAAGATTGTTCATGTACAACATGGCAGAGTACATTATCTTCATCTGCCATTGAGGGGCCACTGGAACAATAATTTCTCTGCTAGCAGATGCAGCATCTGTATCTCTGGCCTATGAGAAGATAGATTGATTTTTGATTAATCTTATGTTGTATCTTTGTGAAAGGATACATTATATAAAGCTGCTCAGATTGTAAGGCTAAAAGAAAAACCACAAACAAAACAAAAAATGTCCATGAGAGGGCAGCAAGCGCTCAATATTGCAAACTTTTTTCACTCTTCCTGTTCATTTTCAGGTCGAAAGCCAGATACCGAATGATTTGTGTTAAATAGCATTTCTTGTTTTCAACAGTAAAATCTCAGATGATTTTCCTCCCCAAAAGAAAGCAAACCCACAATTGAATACCTTCCCTTGTACTACAAAAACACCCTTCCTCTTCCATATTTAGTTTTTCAGTCTCTCTAAAAAATAGTCACATTATTTTCCATACAACCGTAAGAACTGAAAGTACTGTAAAAATATTTGTCCAAAATAAATGGTTTAACTTCCAAAAATTAAAGTAGAAGCACATAGGGGTGAAACCCCTCCATTAACGTACCTTGACTCCCTTTGAGAAACTCCCTTTGAGAAAACATTCAGTAAGGGTGGGAAATAGAGAAGAGAAAGAAATTTAAAGAGGGGTGGAATTTCTCAGAAACACGATTGGACAGATTTTGCTGCAAGATGCACCATTAAAAAAAAAAAAAAAAAAAAAAAGGAGCAGCTGTTTAAAGCACTGGAATCACACGTGAGAATCAATGCAGCTAGGCAAAATCGCAAAACATAACACATACCATATTTAAAAAAAAACATTTATAGGAAAAAAACAAATATTAATGTAAGTGATTCAGAAACGGGGACTCCTTTCTGATATCGAGGTTTTACTTCTAAATGATCATGATGCATCAGTTTTAATAACAATATATAAAGTATAGTACACACGGATCCGATTTCTTTACTATCTGAAAAAACAAAACAAAACAAAACACAAAAAAAAAAAAACAAACCAAAACAAAAAAACACAAACGTACCGAAAAAGAGCAGCAACACTGAATCCTTGCGCCTCGGGAAAGAAAAACTCGCGCGAAAGCCGCATTTTTGTGCGAGCGGGGCGCGCGAAACCAAAGCGAGGCCCGGCGGGAGCGAGCATCAAACCCCGCCCCTCCGCGCTGCAGTCCCCAACCAGGTCGGCTCCCAACACATAAAAGCCGCCGCACCGCCCCGCTCTCGCCACACATCATCTTTGCTGGAGTGCGCGCTCGCGGCAGGAGTAGCATCGTCATGTCCGGGCGCGGCAAAGGCGGGAAGGGGCTCGGCAAGGGGGGCGCCAAGCGGCACCGCAAGGTGCTGCGCGACAACATCCAGGGCATCACCAAGCCGGCCATCCGGCGCCTGGCTCGGCGCGGCGGCGTGAAGCGCATCTCGGGGCTGATCTACGAGGAGACGCGCGGCGTGCTGAAGGTGTTCCTGGAGAACGTGATCCGCGACGCCGTGACCTACACGGAGCACGCCAAGAGGAAGACGGTGACGGCCATGGACGTGGTGTACGCGCTCAAGCGCCAGGGACGCACCCTCTACGGCTTCGGCGGCTGAAGCGTTTTGCTCCTGCACCATCTCGAAAACCCAAAGGCTCTTTTAAGAGCCACCCACTTCCTCCGAAGAAGAGCTGGGACATTGTCGTCTGTAAAGGAGTGTCTGAAGCACCTACTCCCCATATTTCGAAGTTTGTCAAAACATGATTATGGAGTACTACTGCAACATTTTGTGCTTAGATAAGTGCGGTATAATGTCTTAAATTTGCTGTTAATGGCGAAGTTGTCTTTCCTGTGTAAAAACGCATTTTTCTTTGTGTACTTCTAAATTCCTGTGCAGATGTTGTACCCCACTAAAAAACATTTCAATTGCTCTTTGCAATTAAAAGTGAATGTTTGTTACACTTTTTTTTTTTTTTTTTTATTGTCGATTTAAGTATAATTGTCTGGAATACTCAATGTCTCGTATTTGGAAATTCTCATTTAACTAAGAGTTTCTAATCTGCCCTAAGAAAGGGAAATCAATTTACCCTACGGAAAAACATGAAATTTGCTCGAGTGATAAAAGTTGTCTCTATATTTCTAAATAAATTTTTTCTTTAATGTAACCTCTTCTCAATTCCTTGTCATCTTTTTTTCTTCCTTTTTGAAAGCTGTTTCAGGAGGACATCTAATATAGGTTTCTAGAGTACACACTGGGGGGGAGGGGCTTGAGCAAATACTCTGCACCTGACACCACATTTCAAGACAATGCATCAAAAGGAGCTTTGCCTTAAAGGTTTTTTTCATTCTCACACACAGAGATGCTTTTGTCCTGGCTGTGCTTCGGAAGTGCTGGTGTTCGGTTTCCTTCATCACCGGAGGAAAAACTGCAAACCCAGTGGTGCCTGTTTATATAAAACTATCCGTAGTCACTGACCACTTGCAGACAACGGAGATCGATAAACATTTGCGGTCAGTTATGGTTTTCTCACAGCCTTAATGAGTGGTGGCAAATTAAATGAAGTAATTTCATATTCCTTTTTAAGATCTTAATTTCATAAATTAAATCAAAAACTTAATTGTCTAAGCATTCTCAAAGTCACCATTTTACTTGACAAGAATTAAAATCTCTCCTGCTAAATTTTCTAGAGAAAGGAAAACATGAGAAAAATAGCATCTCCCTTGTTACATCTACAATCTTGCTTTATAGGATCTCTTAAGCGTCTATCTCTGTGTTTTGAGGTACCGGGCGATATTTCCTTTGTGGCTTTGGAGTTAATGTGTGCCTGTTACTGTAAGAGGGAGCTCTGTAAGGCATTGAAGAAGCTATTTTCTTATTTTTTAACCAGCTCACACACACACACACGAAAAAGAAGACAACAAAGAGAAAAAATGAGTTTTTAAGAACAAATCCTGTATTTGAGCCTGCATACGACTTTTAATCTGTAACGAGGCTGACGGACAGGGAAAGCCCGAGAAGCAGAAGGGATAGGAAAGCTGTTTCTGAAATACCGCCCGCTCTCCACCCCCCCACCCCCACCCCCTTACCACCCCCTCAGGGCCTCAACCTCCCAGCGGAGTCGCGGGGGGGTGAGGCGGAGCGGCGCTGCGGCCGGCGGCGAATGCAGCTTGCTCGGGCCTGAGCTGGGATTTCCGCAGTAGCCAATGAGATCGCGCTTCCCGTCGTCCAATGAAAGACGGGGCCGCTCTATAAAAGCCGGCGCAGCGCAGCAGCTCAGTATTCCTCGCTCTCTCTTGCGGGTCGGAGGGTTTCGTTGCTGAAGCGATGGCGCGCACGAAGCAGACGGCGCGGAAGTCGACGGGCGGGAAGGCGCCCCGCAAGCAGCTGGCCACCAAGGCGGCCCGCAAGAGCGCGCCGGCCACGGGCGGCGTGAAGAAGCCGCACCGGTACCGGCCCGGCACGGTGGCGCTGCGCGAGATCCGGCGCTACCAGAAGTCGACGGAGCTGCTGATCCGCAAGCTGCCCTTCCAGCGCCTGGTGCGCGAGATCGCGCAGGACTTCAAGACCGACCTGCGCTTCCAGAGCTCGGCCGTGATGGCGCTGCAGGAGGCGAGCGAGGCCTACCTGGTGGGGCTCTTCGAGGACACCAACCTGTGCGCCATCCACGCCAAGCGCGTCACCATCATGCCCAAGGACATCCAGCTGGCCCGACGCATCCGCGGCGAGCGCGCCTGAGACCCCTCCCTGCCGTGGCCCCTCCCGGATTCCGGCAGAGACCTAGGCAGCCTACACAGACCCAAAGGCTCTTTTAAGAGCCACTCCATGCACAATAAAAAGAGCTGTAGCACTTGTGTTTAAACGGTGTGCTTTAGAAATAACATCGAGTTCTTTGGCTTTATAGAACGTAAATTTTCTTTTAACTCTTGTGTACAAACATTTGTATTTGATAAACCCCCGAAGGGGCTAAACTTCCTGCTTTGCAATTCATCAGGGTACTTTGTAACTGCTGAAGGGGAGTAACAGGCAATTTCTGGACACTGGGTGGGGGCAGAGAGACAAAATTGGAAGGGGGCTGTGAGATTTAATTATTCACTTAAGGATTGTAAAGAGAGAACATCAAAGAAAATTGAGGGGTTTTTTGCATTGCTATGGCTGTGCTGTGCTCCAAACGGGTTTGAGGGAGAAGAGGGGTGGGGGACGACTCACATTTCTGTGTGGGTCACGCCTGGGCTCAGGAACTCTGCCTGAAACAATCCTGGCTGGCTGGATCTAGGCAGGAGCAGGAACTTCCCACGGCTCATTGGAGTTGTGTTTCTGCTGAACCTGGCTAAGGCAGTCTGACTTAAAGGGGGCAGCTGCTTTGCTCCCATAGTTGTTAATGCCAGGAGCAAGAATATTTGTCTCAAAAGATCGGTTTTGAGACCAGTCTCAAAATGATGGACGACTGTGCTGAAGAGACAGTAAGTGAGGCCTCCTTTTCACAATGCAGAAACATAGCTAAAAAGTCGAAGAAACTATAATTGAAAATTACTGTGCAGAGGAATATCTATTGAGTTTGCCTGTATTTGTTACCATATATAATAGTAGACTGTAAGGAAAAGGTGGTGCATTTCCTGAGTTTTTTGTGGGTTTTTTTTAGGGAGGATGTTTTTAGTAAGAGTTTTATAAAAATCTTGGAGTGGAAATGTGTTTATTCTTCCAATAATAAGTGTATATGCATTTATTTTTCAACTTGCGCTTCCCCAGGTGGTGATCACAAGATTTTATACAGTCAGAAAATATGCTGAGTTGTCTGATTTCTGCAGTCAGGTTTCTAGGATTCTTCAGAAGGTACTGGCAGGATATAGGTATATACGCATGCAGCTTTTAACCTTTATAAGGAACCACTTTGGCTTGAGTCATTACTATAAGACATGCATGCAGGAGTGACCAGCCTAACAAGAGCCTGAGTGTTAAAATAGGAAGTTAAAAATTAGGCCTCAGGTTCATAACAGAGAAGAGTTGCTGTTTCTCCCATTATTTTGGTAAACATCTTCCCATCTTCTCCCTATCTGTGAGAGCTCACAGTTGGTACCTGGGATGTAACAGTCCTGAGGGCTGGGCAGCACTGAAGGGAGCTACTAGAAGACAGAGCCGTCACGTCTTGTCATTAGCGGCTTCTGGGCACCATCTGTGTGATTTCTCCTTGAGATGCTTGCTGCGCGATAGCTACACTCTGTCAGAGAGAGCACTCGGATGGATGACAAAAGCTACATGACCTGGGAACACAACTTGTTAACCACTGGTCAGGCACAACAAATCATTTCCTCAATCACTTTTGGCAGCAGATTCCAGAGTCTGGTACCAGAGGTGGCTCCTGACAGAGCTGGGGTGTGCGCTATAATTAGGCACCAGTGTCCGTTTCAGTATGATCGTGTTTGTTCCTCTGTGTCTTCACTCTTTATATATTTACAATTGTAAAACATCTGAGGTTTTAGGCATTTTAAATTTTATTAACCTTGAAGTGGTGCCTAGCTACGCACTTAAGTCATTTTAATTAATAATACATTACCAATGTAAAATAACAATTAGAATCAGGATGGAGCCTACTGAAGTCTTAGAATGTAGCCAGACATACAGTTGATTTTAAAATTATAGTTATATAATTCCTTTCAAATTACACTTATAGGTATAGTGTCTGTAAAATTCAGCAGGAGCACTTCCACTCTCAACTTTATAAAATTGTCACCCGTTACGCTGCAAGTGGTGATGTACAGAGAAATGAAATTAAATGAATAGAATATTCCTGTTAGAAGGGACCTACAATGATCATCTAGTCCAACTGTGAAGTACCTTCCTCCATTTGATCTACTATATCGTACTGGTTGGACTACAAAAAATGAAGCCAGATGCATAAAGTCAGGTGGTGCTAGGGTGGAGGGGACTGAGAAAGACAGAGGCGGATGGATACTGAGAATAATTAAAAGTCATAGGTGAAGAAAATGCACATATATGTGTGTATATACATATAGAATATGTAAATATACATGTGGTTATATATATTCATACCTACATTGTTATGTTATGAATATTGTCTGTATCTACCATATTTTACTTCTTGTGCACTGTTGCAGAAATAGACCCTGTGAAACTTCTTGCAGGGTTTACCCAGGTGCCATATTAAAATACCTGAATTTGCATTCCAGACCAACTTGGCTGGTAACATTTAGAGAAGTGTATTGGACAAGCCAGACTCCATTGTCAAGGGCAGAGGAAAAGACGTTGTGACAACAAAGCAGCGAAAATCATAAGAGTCTGAATGTTTTATTTGTGAAATAATAGAAAAAGTGACTTATCTGAAATATTAAAACAGCTAGAGTCTGCAAGACTTCACACAATCAACCAAGAAACTGAACTAAAGACCAACTATAATTGTCTGACTAAAAAACTTTATTGAAACAACTAAATTCTAGTAAATGTTGACCTTCTGATCCCTCCATGTGTATTCCTTTACTGACTCCACCTTCTTTTCATCATCAAACACAAAATGATTGTTCTCAAATCTCAGAACCACATATATTATTTCCTACAGGCCTCTCATCAGTTCCAAAGCTGCCAAGGCTTGACAGGGGCTTCCTTTCCACCAGCTGTTTTGCTCCCAAATAAATGCCATGAAACTTTCTCCTGTGCTCATGCTCTCCATTTATTTGGAAAATGGGAAGGGAGATATTTCAGGAACATTCACCAGATTCTCTTTGCTTTTTCTAAGCTCTTCTTTGTCCTCTATTCCAGCCTTTCCTCAAAGCAAATAAAGAAAATTGAGAATATAAATTACAATTAGACAAATTTGTTGAATTTCCCATTTTTATCATTTGCATCAGACTTATTTTCTTCAGCACATTTTGTTTATTCATCTGATGCTTAGGGAGGTAATGCTCTCATATCTAATACATTGTTAAGGCTTTTAGAGTATATCTTAGTAAAAGCAATGATAGAGTACATTTGCATTTTTTCTTTTTAAATAAAAAGCTCTTTGAAGCTTGTCTTTCTATATTAATTCAAGTTATGCTTTCCACATTGCTTAAAAGTAAAAACCTGGATTCCTTCATAAAACCCATTGCAAAAATATATTTACAGGAAGTATTGGGGGGGAAAGGGGAAGATTTATCATCAACCTTCCATCCTACTCCACCTTTTTTTCTTTTTTTAAGATGTTTTGCCATGATCATTAGAAGTATTTCTCCTTTACCTTATCTGAGCATTCCTTTTTCTGTAGTTACTTTTCTAGTATGGTCAAATAGGTATTTCCAAAACCCTCAATAAAACAGTATGTAAATCTGCTGAAGAAACCATGGTTTGTAACAACTGCTTATGAAGGCTTATGACTTTGTTATCACAGGGATTGTGGTATCTGATCGCAAAAGCCTCTTGATGTGTCCTGAGAAACCAGATGAAGACAGAACTGGAGAGGGTGTCAGGGAAACAAAGGAGATGCTAACTGTTACAACTTACAGCAAGGGTCCTGAAAATAACACTACGCTGGAAGAACTTCACAATGATACTCTTCTATCAACATTGAAAAACCTGTGTCACAGCTCTCTTGTGCAATGTGGTGGCTCTTAAAAGAGCCTTTAGGTGCGGGTAGAAAGGAACACTGAAGGGAGGGGCCACGGCAGGGAGGGGGCTCAGGCGCGCTCGCCGCGGATGCGTCGGGCCAGCTGGATGTCCTTGGGCATGATGGTGACGCGCTTGGCGTGGATGGCGCACAGGTTGGTGTCCTCGAAGAGCCCCACCAGGTAGGCCTCGCTCGCCTCCTGCAGCGCCATCACGGCCGAGCTCTGGAAGCGCAGGTCGGTCTTGAAGTCCTGCGCGATCTCGCGCACCAGGCGCTGGAAGGGCAGCTTGCGGATCAGCAGCTCCGTCGACTTCTGGTAGCGCCGGATCTCGCGCAGCGCCACCGTGCCGGGCCGGTACCGGTGCGGCTTCTTCACGCCGCCCGTGGCCGGCGCGCTCTTGCGGGCCGCCTTGGTGGCCAGCTGCTTGCGGGGCGCCTTCCCGCCCGTCGACTTCCGCGCCGTCTGCTTCGTGCGCGCCATCGCTCTCACAGCCCTCACACACGCCTTCCAGCCGCTGCCACAGAGTAGCGGCGCTTCCCCGGCCGCGGCGGCTTTTATAGCCTGTTCTCGTCTCTGATTGGCTGCAGCAAAGCGCCGCTACTATTGGATACTTTCGAATTCGAAAAGCCCAGCTCGGAAGCGCGCCTTTTTCACGCAACCGCCTAACGGCGCTCACCCTCCCCCCCGCCTTTTGCACTCGCTGCTCTTGTTTTCGGGTTATTTCTTACAGCAATTTTTATATTCTATCCAGAAAAATTACAGCCTATAGTGAAAATTGTTCAGAAGGGAAAGGGGTAGTTAAAAATTATACTGTCCTGAAAGTATATATATCTTTATTTTACTGGAATTCCCAGAGTCGACCTTGGAGAAATATGTATTCTATACCTCTTACTCAATAGGAATCCTTACAATGGTATTTTGGGGCTTGAAGTTTTATGTAAGTTTGCCTTTTTTTTTAATTTATTTTTTTTCGGGGACTGAGGGTGTTAGGTTGTATTGCTTGGTTTGGTCTTTTTCATTTATAGTAACTTTAATCTGGAAATAGTAGAAAGTAATACCATAGGTGGTATGGTAAAAGTTTTTGGGTTGACATGAATTTCATGTGAAAACACTCTAAATTCAAGGGATAGTGTTTTAAACCATTTTTAATATCTTTCAGCACACCAAGTATTCCCAGGCTGTTGCTTGCTGAAATACAAGCTTTGTAGTTAGTAATCTTTCCCTTTTCCCCATTCCAGATTTCTGTTGTGTTTTCCTATGCAGGAGCGTTCTCCTTAGCCCCGAGTAGAGAAGGGCTTTCCAGCGAAGGGAAGACAGGTGCTGACCCTGGATACAGAGAAGTGCTCCAGCTTCATGAGCTTTAAGTTGAAAACAGCAGCTTCCTGAGATTTAACACACCATATGCTCAAAGTATAACCAACCACCTACATTCAGAGGACGGACTTGGGATCACTGTGGTACTTAAATTAGTATAAGAAGGGGTTCAGAGGGTGACCAGCTGCAATGTCTCCCACCCTGAGGCTGTACACGACCACCTACTGAGCATCATAGGGATTAACATCCTTTAAATACAAATACAGATCTACTCCTGCTACTGTTCACCCGATTAGTGAACACCAAACAATGTAGCCCACAGGGTGATGCCTCTAAGGTCCCTGCCTCTAAACCAGGCCAGCTCACCAAATAAAAGCAAGTATTTAGGGTGTTTTCCTATTCCTTTCTATTTATGAGTCATAATCCCATTAACGGTAATAATGAAATATTTTATTTCCTAATCTACTGAATGGGGATGGTCCGTAACACGTTAGTAATGCATATTTAGTCAGTTTTTAAGTGCTTAAAGAAACTCGTACACTAGCTTACTAGTAAAATTTCTAACTAATACAAAGACATTGTGAACATTTTTAACGTACTTGAAGCAACACAGCTCTCTTCCAGTTTAAGTGGGTGGCTCTTAAAAGAGCCTTTGGGTTTTCGAGATGGTGCGGGAGCAAAACGCTTCAGCCGCCGAAGCCGTAGAGGGTGCGTCCCTGGCGCTTGAGCGCGTACACCACGTCCATGGCCGTCACCGTCTTCCTCTTGGCGTGCTCCGTGTAGGTCACGGCGTCGCGGATCACGTTCTCCAGGAACACCTTCAGCACGCCGCGCGTCTCCTCGTAGATCAGCCCCGAGATGCGCTTCACGCCGCCGCGCCGAGCCAGGCGCCGGATGGCCGGCTTGGTGATGCCCTGGATGTTGTCGCGCAGCACCTTGCGGTGCCGCTTGGCGCCCCCCTTGCCGAGCCCCTTCCCGCCTTTGCCGCGCCCAGACATGACGATGCTACTCCTACCGCGAGCGCGCACTCCGGCAAAGATGATGTGTGGCGAGAGCGGGGCGGCGCGGCGGCTTTTATGTGTTGGGAGCCGACCTGGTTGGGGACTGCAGCGCGGAGGGGCGGGATTCCCGCCCATTTTTTCTGGCTCCGTCACAGGTAGTGATGGGAGATCGCCTGCGGTTAAACAGTGCTGTAAAGTCTGCGAAGTAAACAAAAAATTACATACACGCTCCCCCTCCCAAAAAATCCCAACGACTTTCATGTTCGTAAGAATTGGAAAGCTTGTTTCGCCCTCCTTGGATTTGTATAAACCCATTTGCTATGCATATGCTTATTTCTCTTTCTTGCAGTGACTGGGTTTTTTTAAAATTACTTTAAATTCTCATTATTTTAATTCTGTTCATTAACCATTCTGGTTTATTTGTATTCAAAGTTTTACAAATCTTTCTCTAGCAGTTTTAATATTTTGAAGTCTCCTACTGGCTTTCTGGAATTTTCTCATATATTGGTTTTGCATTTTGTTTTCTACCTCCCATTTCTTAAATGGGAAGTTTGATACTCTTTTCTGAGTTTTACATAAGCAATTTCGACTCTGTAAGGACATGTCAACCAGAAGGCAAAATAGAATCTTTCTTTATATAATTATCTTTATATTAGATTGTTTTTTTACTATTTTTGCTCATTTGGAATTACTGCTGTGGCGATTTTTTCCTTATTTTTATAAAATATCCTTTAGTAAAACTAGTGATTTACATTTCTGATATCTTAATTAGTAAGAAAATCACCTTGCTTTTTTATTGCATATCAAGCTTTTCAATCTTTAACTGATTTTTTATGGGTCTATATCTATACTGGAAAAAGTCGACATTCTGAATTAGTAGTTATGAAAGTAAGATGCAGTCCTTGTCTAGGGATGTTACAGAGGTCAGTATAAGAACATCCCTCAGCTAGAATAACTACTAGACTAAGACAAAGAATGGTTTCATTTTTAGGGGGAAACAAAAAAGTTTTAATTTTATTTTCTTCTGTCCATTTATGTAGGAAATGCAAGTATAATTTCTATGTACTCTCCTAAACTATGCGATATTAGAACATATAATAAGTTTATTGTGCTACTAGATTGTAAGGGGTATCTTCCCTCAGTCTATTTAACAATTATGAGATTACATTCCATCATAAAACTGAAGGAATGTTTTGCTCTCTACGGTCATATTAAAAGTTTAAAAGAGGAGCTCATTTTCCTGACACCTCAAATACTGTTTCTAATTCTGTCCCTAGATGTCTTCATGGTCAATGTCAAAGCAATGTCTTTCTGGGTTTTGACGGCTGTTTTTTTCTGGTTGGGGGTTTTTTGAGGAGAAGATAACAAATATGATCTAGATGAAAATTTTCTTCTCCTTAGCTAACCTGCACCACTTCAGAAAATGAGAATATTAAGAAACATGGGAATTATCTTTGCTTTACCCTTCTTCCAATATGAAGCAACCCGCACTGAACTCTTCTAATCAGTTACTACCATCCACCTAGCAGAGGCATTCACAGCTTTTACCTAGGCTGTAGCAACTGTGCTTCACGTTGCAGAGAGGTTCAGAGGGATGCATAGGCATAACGAGGAGTCTCCCTAGACATGGTGTCATCCTAAGCATACCTCCTTCCTCTTCCTGGAGGAGTGAAGAGGTGAGCAGACTATGATACTGGGGCTTAAAAATTGTGTTATGCTTGCTACAGTTCTTGCTTATACAGAATTGATAAGTCACAAATCAGTAAACAAACTCAAGCCTTTCCTACTGTAACTAGCCTAAAGAAGGATTCCAGAATAGTCTTGATGGGGTTTTAAATTACTACTGTATTTTCTTCACTTACTACTGCCTCACAAGTGGCAGAACACCAAACTTCAATGCCCCTCTCCTTCTGTTCATGAACCCCTGCCCATACTTGCTAGTGACAGTGCTCAAGCAAGAGCACTTAAAATTTTGTTCATTTAGCACATATGTAGACTAAGGACAGATTCACAAGATGGAATCAAGACAGATTTAATCCTGTGATATAGAGGCAAATAACTAAGCCTTTAGTATGCTGAGAACACTTGCTGTTTATCCCCATGATTTTTACACTCATCTTTTGGTTTCCATTTGAAAGTTTTCAGCTGCTTTACTTACATTCTGCTTTTACATTTACTAGGTAATGAATGTGATGTTTTTTCATATATGTTTAATGTCTAGCACGAGATAGGGCTGCTGTAGGTTATTGTGTCTGTATCAATAACCTCAGGGTGAGTAATTAGAATGCGTAGATATTAATTTAATCCTGACTTAAAAAATATCATTCATTAAATGCTACTGAAACTTCAGGCTTCAAGTTCTAGATCAATATTAGGCAAAAAATATACTGTCAGACATTATATTATAGGAATATATATGAGTAAGATTCTGTAAAGGTATTCATATTTTTCAAACTAGTAGTTTTGAATTTTGCGTAAGTATTGAACAAGTTTTCATATTCCTTGTGCTTTCCACTCACTGGCAGCTGGTGCTTCTTCCCCTGTTCAAAATATTCTGTCACTTTCAAAGGAGAAATGGAATTGCAATCTGTCCTTTGTGAATAAGTCAGGTTGTACAGACCCCTGCTTTGCACAGTTACCATGATCCTGTGGTCTGCCATGATGAAAACATTATAGATCTCATCTGGACTATCTGGGGGGAAGAAACAAATTGTTCCCTTGTACTGAAAACTTGGGCACTTTTGACAGACCTGCACAACCCCACAGTGGAGGAGAGCTCAGAGGAGAAAGGCAGTAAGACAGTGAGCTTAAGCAATAGTGTACTGTAAAAAAAGCTGCACTTATCTCAACACCAGGGAGGCTGGAGGGTTACCATGGTTTTAGATAAGACAGATGCACCGATGAATCACTGGATTCCCTCAGTCAACAAAGAATAATGTATTCTTGAGCAAGCCAGACCAGCATGAGGGGTGGGAAGGAAGGGTGGTGTATATGTGGCTCACCCCAACTTAAAGTGTAAAAACTGGACAATGAATAAAACAAAGTCTGAATAGAACAACGGGCTTGAGATAGTTTCAACCAACACATTCCTTCCCAGTGACTGGGGAGGCCAAGCACTGTGACAATGAGCATAAAGAGATCAGGCATAAGGATCATGTTTGCACTGTGATTCAACTTTATGTTGCAAAAGGTACATTGTGTTTGTGATGCGATTTCAGTACATTCTGTATCACTCCACTAAATCAAAATCCCATGTAATGCCAAATATCCTAAATAAGGAAATTTTATATTAAACATTACATTCACCTCATGCATCATATCTACAGGAACCTGGATGAAGGAGTATTCAACTCTGACAGCATGGAAATGTGGTCAGCTGGGACCTGTTTCTACATGTGGTTAAGACTGTAAACTGAACAAGATTTGACTTCTTTGACACACTTTAGGCTTCTCAATCTACCCCAGTGGTCCTCGTTCTCTGTATCCCCATGCCCACATACCCCACCTTCAGTTCAGGATGAAAGCTGTGCTACAAAGCTCTGCTTAGTGAGATCGAGCAGCCCACATGATATTGGTAGGAAATATTTTAAGTACAGAACGCTTTTATCTTGAAACTGAGGCCCAAGTCAATATTTATATACGTGGATTTGCCATTTGGAAGGAATCTCCTGGCAGTAGCATAGTTGCAGAATTGGTTTATGATGGTTAAGTAAAACTAGAAAACAGTGTCACCTAACGTTTAGATGTTACAGCTATCAACTTCCCAGTGTTTATTGTATCTATCTATTTGATAGGTATGACAAGAGATCTGGGGGGACTGTTATTGTGAATTTAGTTTAATTACTGGTACTTTGATAACTAATTTCATCACTTCCATCCCTCTTCCCCACCATCTGACACAGTCAGAGATGGAGACCCCCATCCTCATCTTTTTATTTAAGGGCTCTCCTCAGTCAGGGATCCAAGAGGTTGGGATGCAGCTCTGGTTTGGATGGTTTCCAATCTTCCTCTTGCTGCCAAGTCCAGAAACTACACAGGGACTGATAAATGAAGAAGAGACCTCTGTCGTAGCCCAGCAGCCTGGTCTGACCTTTGAGGATACAGTTTGTCATGCACAGAGAGTGGCTTCTTACAGATCAGAAGATAATTCACACAGGGGCAAAATCTTCCAGAAATCATCTCACTTCCCCTGCCCCATGACAGCTGCGGGTAAGGACAAGTGCACGTTGTCTGAGTCACTGCTCTGTTGCTCTGCAAACCAGCAGGAGCTGGATGCCGTTTCGTCATGGAAAACAGCATCACAGGATTAGTCTCCAGCAGCGGATCGCAGGAAGGGACACTACACACACGCTGCCGAAGGAATGTTGTACTTGGCAGGTACTGACACCCAAGCACTCACATGGCCCTGCCATCACTCACACCTCCTCACCAGGCCACATGTTTCAGGGTGCCTTTCAAAGCAATGCTGTTCATGCTAGAATTGCAAAAATACACTTTCTGAGGTGTTTCTCTCACACAACAATGTACTAGCTGTCAGGACGGCTGTTCATGGCCAGACTAGCATGACTCTGGAGTAGTGAGTGTGTTGTATCTCACTCTACCTTGAAAGGAGACAACTTGCATGGGCCTCACCCCCCGCCCCCCTCATACCATACACAAGCTGCAGTCTTGCACGCTCACTGAATAGCTGATATAGCTGAATAGGTCTATGAAGAAAGGCTGGAGGAACTCTAGACCAGGTTTAGGGTGTTGGGAAGATAGTAATATAACCATTTCCTCATCTGAAGCTGTTTTAGGACATGGAAGAGAAGGGTCAGTGTCAATATCCTGCAATTGGAGGCAGGGGTGCCCTTTTGCCCATGATGTATTTATTCCTGGGCTCTGGGTTTCTCCCAGGAAGACACCAAAGGACCCCTCCAGCACATGCTGTAGGTGGTTTTCCAGGACCAGGGTGGCCTGTGAAGCTCAGAGCTCTGTAGCACACAGAGCAAATCTGCTCCTGCATTCAAGTAAAGGACAGCAAACAGCAAA